ATGTTTGAAGATTTACCGAAATTCTGAACTTTGGATATTCAACCGGATTTCTCCTGTTTTTGAATTGCGACTGTATCATTCGTAGTTTTAACTTCAGAAATGATATTGTACTTGGCTTTTTTGGGAAAACTGCCCCCATTCGAAGTGTTTAAGCTAAAACGTAAAAGAGAGTAAACCGTATAGTATCAAACACTCGTCGAAACTGCTAAAACGATCCCACCTATATAAGCCCAAAAGGCACTAAAGGCCTTAAATGGTCTAAACACAAATTCTGCTTATTTTATTGATAAACTTTTGGTAATTTTCGAATCCTATTTGCTCCACTAAATTATGGTCTACATTTTGCTACATCCATGTATAAAGTTTTAGTTTTATTAATTAATTTCAATTATACAATTTTAGCTTTATTAATTAGTTTTGGAATTCTTATTTAGGACTGTCTACGGGTGTTATGAGCAACACCCACTTTTTTACTCCGGCATAAAAAGACTCGTGTTATATATGTTTGGTTCAACAAAGAGTGAAGTTCTAATATCTCTGAAAGCCCAAGGTAGTATGACAAGTAGAGGTGGGCATGGGCTGTGCCGGGCTACCGTGGGCCATGCCTCGCCGTGCCTGGTGGTGGCTCGTGCCGGGCCGTGCCGAGCCACCATTTGGCACACCGCAGCCCACGGCACGGCCCACGTGCCTGGCGTGCTGTGCCGGGCCGGGCAGCGGGCCGCCCACTTTTTTTTTAAATCGATATATTTAAATATTTTATTAATTTATGTTTTTTTATTATTATATTATTTATGTTCTTTATATTTTTATTATTTTTATTATTTTAGTTCTTTTACTTATTTATTATTATTTATGTTATTTTTATTATTAATATATTATAATTAATTTCATTTCTTATTATTATTTAGCAAAAAACAACAATGCATATAATTAAAAAATTGACTAGTGCGATAACACAAGAATTGATGAATAACTTATTTTATTATATGCCGGTTCGATAAATCGATAATACAATAATTGATAATGATAAAAATCGTACAATAATTGATGAATAATTTAACTTTATTGCTTATTTTATTATGCGAGGTTCGATAATACAAATAATAGCTATAATTAATAATATGTAATCTAATTTTCTTCTTGTTTGTTTTCGTCTTCTTCCTCTCGTTCAAGTTTATCGGCCAATTGAATTGATTGGGAACTGGTAGAAGCCGACGTTCCTTCATCGTCATCGTTTTGTGCATAAGTACGATCTTGAGAGCGAGTTTCGGCATCCAACCAATCCTTGAAACAAACACACATTTCAAGTGTTTCGGGTTTTAGACTTGTTCTTCTATCGTCTAAAACCCTTCCCGACGCACTAAAAGCTGTTTCGGAGGCAACGGAGGAGACTTGGATAGCAAAAATATCACGAGCCATTGCCGCCAAAATTGGATGTTTCGTGCTTTGTGATTTCCACTAATCAAGGATGTCGAGGTTGTACTTCTCTTCGTCGTCCATGCCTTTCATGAAGTCGTAACTTAAGTACATTTGCAACTCCGAAACATCGCTTTGTGTTCTCCTAGATGATGATTCACTACCTGAAAACTTAGACATCATGTTAGCAGCTAGTGCAAATAAACCTTTGGACCTTTTACTTACATTTTTGGATGATTGAAAAGAAGAAAATCGAGACACGGTTCCATATTTAGATTCATAAACTCTATATAAGGCAAAAAATTGATTGGTCACATTAGTTTTATAAGATTCAACATCATCTTCAAATTTCATGCATTGAAAATAAATATCAATTAATAAAAATGTGCCATCATACTTTTGCCTTGAATCTAATATAAAAAGCAAAAATATAAATCATAGGAAGAGTAGTGTAATATTTACGCCATTTTTCCTCCATTGATGGAAGATATCCATCATAATCGTGTTATGATCGGTGTTCATAAAAAAGTTGTGCAAGTAAACATGCATTGCTAAGAAAAGAATGAGCACAAGGATTATAAAACAGAAGAAAAACAATGTGTCATACTATATAATAATTGTAAAAACTGCATATATTTTTCACAGTTAGACCAATCATCATCTAATAAAGCAAATTATGGAAATTTTTTATTATTAAAAATTGTTAATGGACCCTTGTACTCGATTGCCATACTCAACATTTCATAGGTGGAGTTCCACCTAGTTGCACAATCCGTTTTGATTTTAATACCCTTCATCCTTTGTTGCCTGCAAAAAGCTTTCCATTCATGAAATCTCATGTTAGAGCTGTTAATAGACATAATAACATTTCTAATTTTGTGATAAAATGGACCAATTGCTTGGGTTCCATCCTTCACACACAAGTTTAGAACATGACAAATGCATCAAATATGAAGTGCATCTCCATCTAATATTATATCGGTCAATTGTGCTTTAACTAAATTTGCACTAAATGTCATGGAAGTTTATCAAAAGTCATAGACATGATTTTGGACCTAAGATTATATGCATCAATAGCTTGCATTAAATGATGAAAAATATTAAGACCGGTGTGGGGGTATTCAAGCATTTTAAAATGGATAATGCGTTTTTGTAATAACCAATCAGTATTCAATCAATGACAAGTCACACACAAATAGTGATATCCGTAACCACTATCCCATGCATCAGCGGTCAAAGAAACTCTACAAGTAAGATTACTCAATTCATTATATAACTTCAATTTATACTCTTGAAAAGATTTCATGGCAGTCGAACGGACAGTTTTTCTAGAGATTTTTTTTGTGTTGGGGTTGTAGTGCTCGATTAATGTAATTGTTAAAGGGATCATTTTCGGCAAAAAAAAAAAGGGTTGTTCGGCATGTACTAACATTCTCCCAAGCTCATCCCTATCTCTCTCATAATTGTAAGTGAAGCCATGTGGATGGAATTGAGAAATTTTGGGTTGGGTTGGATCACTAGATGGTTCACCACATTTTTTTACATGTCTAGTACCCTTCCCTCCCTTGGTTTCGGCCGAGTAAATTTTCTTACATGTCTTACACTTGGCTTTGGTTCCATCTCTACTTAATTAAAAATGTGTCCAAACATAACTCTTTCTGTTGGTAGCGGCGTGTTCCTCTTTGGTACACCATTCTAATGTGTTTGGAATTTAAGTGGATAGTTTACTCAACCCGGCGGCATGTGTTTGGCTACCTTGACTAGAAGGATAAGAAAATTCATGTTGTGAGCCATATAAATGAGGTGAGAATTGGTTTTGTTGAAATCCCGAACTAGACATAGTCCAAGGAGACATATTGTCAAATTGTTGGATCCTCACATAGTTTGGGGATGAAAGAAGGGGGTGGAAGTGTTCGGAATGGACATGTTAGGGGAGGGCATTGAAGTATTAGAATTTGGTAATTCCCTACTAGTACTAGAACGTTTTGACTTGGCTTTCCTAGAGGAGGAGGAAGGGTTCGAGTTTGATGCCATGGTTAATAATAATAACAATAATAATAACAACAACAACAATAATAATACAAATAATAACAACAATAACAATAATAATAACAACAACAACAATAATAATACAAATAATAATAACAATAACAACAATAATAATAACAATAACAATAATAATAACAACAATAATAATAATACAAATAATAATAACAATAACAACAATAATAACAACAATAATAATAACAATAACAATAATAATAGTGACAAGAACAATAATTATAACAATAATAATAAATTAATATATAACAATAACAACAACAACAACAACAATAATAATAACAATAACAATAACAATAACAATAACAAATTAAAATAACGTTGAGTTAGATCTTACAACGACGCTTCGGTTGCTTTCCGCTAATTAATTTCCCAAACTTATAATTTTTTTTTTTTAATTTTTAAAATTGAGAGGATTAGAGAATTAAAGATTATATGAGTTTTTTTTTTCTTTTTTTTTTGAGAAGTAGAGATTATAAGAGAGTAGGAATTAGAGAATAAGAGAATTAAAGAATAAGATATTTAAGAATAGATGAGTTGATGAATTGGGTAAAAAAATGGAGGAAGAAGTGAAGTATTTATAGGAAAAATGATGAATTAGCCGTTAGAGTGGTTGTAGGAATATAGCCGTTAATATGGTTGTTACAATGTAGACGTTTATGGCTGTTGGAAGCTGCGGAAAGTAGCCGTTATGCACAGGTCGTGCCGTGCTGGGTCGTGCCTGGCGGGCCGCGTGCCGTGCTTGGTCGCGCCTGACCGTGACGCGTGTCGTGCTCGTGGGCCGGCCTGCGGGTCAGACGATCGTGCCCGTGTCGTGCTCGTGCCGATTTATCAAAATTTTGCTCACGGCACGGCCCACGACCCCCTGCTGGGCCATCGTGTCGTGTCGTGCCTATAGCGGGCTCGTGCCCATGCCCACCTCTAAATTAGTAATACGTCATACTAACAGCAATCATTTTACCCTTGATATCCTAAAGTTACCTAATTCTCCACTGGATGTGGCATCTCCACCTAAGCTGGCATCACCACCGGAGGTGGCATCAATGGAAGAGCGGGAGGAGGTTGACTCACCACCGGAGTCTGACATACGTTGCAGGATAATATTTGAAAAAAGAAGAGAGTTAATACCTCATATGTAATCAATTAATACCTCAAAATATTCAAATTCCAATTTACTTTATCAGCAGTTAAATGTCTCAAATTCCAAACATCGATCCTTTTAGTAAAGTACTTCTCAAGGGGAAGACTGTAATGACTTTGTTCAGTAGGAAGAATGCATGGAATCCTCTCAAAAACAACCACGTCCAAAATGAGGGAACAACCATTGAAGATATGCTGATTTTTACCACTCTCACTCAAAGATGGTTTGGAGTCAGTCAAAGTCTTGTGTAGATGATTAAGTACAACTTGAGACCAATTGATAGAATTAACTTTCTCCAAATCATCAGCTAGCTCAAAAAATCTTGATTGAACCACTTGGTAGTTTGTACTAGGAAGGAGAAACTTAACGATTATATGGAGGGTGTACAGTTTTTGAAAAATCAACTCATCCTCTTTTTTTTCAACTTCCATTTTGATAATATGCTTCCTAAGTTCAGAAGCCATCACCTGTTTTTTTTTTCATGAGAGGGGCGAGATAGGAAGGAATAGGCAGTGTAGAGCTATCAATCATGGTCCCAGTATCTTCGATACCGAGGACCGTAGCCACCTCGTGGCTGTAGAAGTGCATTGTTGTGGATGGATTGAAAACAAAGCTTGTACCATCAAAAACCTCACAAAGTTCCAGCGCAAGAGACCCATACTAGTAGAAAAACATAAATGAGCACCGCAAAATGCGCACCGATTTTTAAAACCAGTGCGAAAAAAAAATAGGCGGGATTGAGAAAAAGAGTAATTTCACCAGTTCAAACAAAACCGGTGCGAAAATGAGTTAATCGCACTGGTTCGAACCGGTGAGAATGTTAATATTAAAAAAAAAGCCGGTCTTTTATCTTCTTTCTTTCTCTTTCTGTCTTCTTTCTAAATTTCTCTTTCCTCGATCTCTCCTCCTCTCTCATCTGCATCTCTCTCATCTACAACAATGGAGGCTCTTTCCTCAGACTCCTTCTCTCTCCTTCGATCTCCTTCTCCATAACCAGCGCTTTCCCTTTCCTTTTCTCTCTCCTTTGATCTCCTTCTCCATAACTGCGCCGCAAGCATCGCTGCTCTCTTCTCCTTCTCAGTCCGAAATCGGCGTCATTAGAACCAAGCACAACCACCATCGCCGCCGCCGTCAATTTGAACCAAATACAACAACAAACTTGAATCAATTATCGATTCAAAATCCACAAATTCGAGGTAAGGGTTTCTAGGTTCTTTAGCTTTGCATTTTAGTCCAATTATTCATGTTAAATGCCTTTACTTTTTTGGATTTAATTTATGATTGAGATTATATGTATGTTAATTTTTTTTAAAACATGTAAAGTAGTCATACTATACGAGGTTAGGGTTTCTAGGTTTATTCGAAAATCCAAGTAATCATATTTTGTTTTTAAATTTCTGGGTTTTGATTATTTATCTTAACTTCTGAATTTTTTTTCTAAATTTTTCATTTTCTTTTTGAATTAATTTGATTTTTTATCCTGGGGTCTTGAAGGAAGAGAATGTTTGCTGGGAGTAGTAGCAACAATAGTGCGTCGTTCAAAGACCCTAATGTAATTGAAATTCCGCGTCCTACTACTTGGAAATCGAAGCCAAGAAAGCAAAATTCAGTGAAATTCTTGAACTATTTTGTTTTAAAATCTTGTTAATTTGAATTGAATTATGTGGGTTGTTTAATTTTTATCTGATTTTTTCTGGGTTTGAGTTGGGTGATTGGGATTGTTATTTTATCAATGTAGAAATTGATACTGTGGTTCGAGGAGGTTTTATTTTAATCATACATTTACTTCAAAGAATTCCATTTATTTTATGGCCTTCAGTATTAAATAAACTTAAATGATAGTAATCGACACGTGATTTTGTCATGAATACTGTAATTTATACAAGTATCATATTAAGAAATGCATTAATGCTTTTATTTTGGTCCTTAAATTCTGCAGTATTGCAATGCTCTCTATTTCTATCTTTTAAAAATGCTTTTCTTAATTTTACCTAACATTTGGATTTTTTAAAATGGTTTTTCATGCTGACATGCATGTAAGATAGAAAATTTTGGCACTTCTGGATTCATGGCAAGAAGCATTTGGTGGTCTTGGTGGAAATTATGGTCTTGTGATGAACTGAGGGTAAGCTCATTCAGCTTATGTTTTTGAGTGCTTGGGAACTTGTAGATATTATAAACTCCCATTTAGGTAGTTATGGGACACCATTCCTTGTCAGAACTGTGTCGTAGTCCTAAATGAGTACTACATGGAAAGCACGTTGAATTTGAGCTTTCTGATACCTGTGCTTGTATTATGAAGCTTCTCAATTCTCATCTCACTCCTACTGTTTCTGTTAGTGAATCAAGAGTCTTCTACTTGAAGATGAAGGGAGATTATATCATTGTTATATGGCTTACTGTAAATCTGGTGATGGAAGGAAACTGCTGCTGAAGATACTATGAATTCTTACAAAGCTTCTCATCAGGTTTGTGTGTTTTCTTTTAGTTTTCTTTATTTTATCTTATTTTTGTTTTGTGCCGTTTCTTAGGGTTTAGATGTTCGATTTTGCGGAGATCTGTCTGAATTTATTTTGACCTAAAAGATTTAATTCGATTTGTATTTGTTATTTTGAATTATTTTTTTCTCTGATTTTGCTGCTTTATATATACTAAGATATGGAAGAATAATTGAGATTCGAGCTAACAATCGCTAAATGAGTGCTCAATGCTGTTTGTTTTAGTTACTAAAGTAACTAAACATAGTATATTGGTGGAATGACTGAGATTGGATATTTGAATATGCATATATTGGATGTAATTTGAATAATTAAGAAAATTCCTGGAGTTTTATAGGAGTATTTGAATGTATACTAAGATTCTTGCAATTTAATAGGAGTTTGGATGTATTTTGGATATTTGAGTATATTTCTGCAGTTTTAATACGAATATTTGGATTTTATTTTGGATATTTGAGAACATTTCTGCAGTTTAATAGAAATATTGATGTGTTGTGGATACGATATGTGTCGGTAGAATATTGTAGTTGAAATGAATGACGATGAGAATGTTGGTGAGAAGAATATTTTGATTTATTGGTTTTGAATGCTAGATTGAAGTGAGGTATTATTTGAACTGGATTGTTGATTCTCTGGATTTGGATGAAGTTTAATTTAAAGACTTGTTTCAGTACTAGTTACCAACATACTTGTAGTATACTAGCTCACACTTGTTTCATCTTGGAAGTGGAGTGCAAGGATAGAGTGAGATAGTATTGAGTAATGGATTTGATTATTGCTTTTCTGGATTTGTTGGCCTAATTTGGTTGGGAATATGCAATGCAAGGATACAAGCCTTTGATAGAAGTTGAAAAAAAAAATGTGCAAGAGCAGCTGAGTATTTTGTAAATATGTTGTTCTCTGATTCCTTTTGAATTTTCAATCGTACTTGCAGTACAAAGTAGGAGTAAATTCTGAGACATAACTGAAGTACTGCCGCTGCAAGTTTATCATTTTTGACAATCAGGATTTGTGGGTTTCAACGTTTCATATGCGCTTAGGTTAGATCTTGGATGGAAGAATCATATCCAGACATTAATAGTCGTATAATTTCTTACATTATTGGACTTGATAGCTTGAAAGCAGTCTGCAATGAAAGTATTACCTCAATAGCGGCTGGATGCCAAGACATAAGGCTACGCATGGATGGACTATTTGAGGTTAAGGAGCATGCAATCAAATTTGTGAGAGAATTCACTGCTTTATATACAAATGGGTGAATTTTTAACTATTTACTTTTTGTATTTCATGTTTGTTCTATGGTATAACAAGTGGCTCACATTTGTAGGCTCAGCCTCAGAGCACAACCTCTACGCTATGGTATAACAAGTGGCTCACATTTGTAGGCTCAGCCTCAGAGCACAACTTCTATGGTATAACAAGTGGCTCACATTTTATCAATAACTTAATACTAAAACAGACACTAGGAGTGACTTGTGTCACATCCTAGTGCTGTTTTTTCCCTCCAAAACTTCCCCTCCCTTTTTAGCAAAAAATATTTTATTTTTGGAATATTTTTATAATAAAACTATAATATATTATTCCAAACTTATATATTATCTCTATATAAAATGTATTCCTTTTTATTGTGTTCTAAAATTTTCCATGCACATTTACCTAAAATAGTTTTTCAACTCTTTTTTAGTTATCTTTGAAACGAGTATTATGAGTTTTACTGAAAAAGTAATAATATAATTGATTCATATCGAAGTAATTGATATTAAAGAAATTACTTTAAAACATCACTTTAATTTATTTATTTTTTATTTCAAATTCCTTTTTATTTTGTTTATTAGACTAATGGAGTATTAGATATGACCATAAAATAAATGTTGTGTTCGACAACTATATTATGTCTAATTTGAAAATGTAAAATATCAAGCAATTTTTTTGTTATTACATTATTAAAAGAAGTTAATATCTTAGTAAATACAAAAAAGTTATTATCTTTTGCTGAAACACTGTATTGAGTAATAATTTTATCACATTCGACATTCATAAAAAAAGCTGCATTTAAAAAAAAAACACGTGGAATATAGTGACAAGTGACATATTCTTGTTTTTTTTTCTTCTTGTTTTTGGATAAATAGCTATCATCGACAACTAAAATTTTAGGGTAATAAACAAACAATGATCAAACTAGAATTATTGGATAGCTTTCAAACACATTTTTATATAATAACAAAGAGCGACGATATCATGTAGAGCATCAATCCATAAACAGAAAATGTACTACTAATAATATAGGTTAGTGTCACCTAATTATTGATTGTTATTGCCTTTAATAATCTAAGTAGTATTTATTTCCATTGATAGTATTTTATTGGATATAAAGATGATATATTATTCATTATGGGAAAAAGATTATAACTACCGTGCATCGTACGGACACTAATCTAGTGTATATAAATTTAGGGTCAAATGAGAAGGGGCTTAAAATGTAAAGGATGAGAAGGAATCTCATACGTTCAAATACAATGATCTAATAGCTCTCATTGCATACTTCATTAATGACAAAAATGTAAATATCTCTTTCCCTACTTTCCTTTCTATTTTCTCCATTCCTCTCCTTCTCCCTCTTCTGTTAATATCTCTTCCCCATTTTTTTTCCTCTTTGAGTTTAGAAGATGATTTAAAAGGATTATTAAAGGGGAATCAAGTAAAAGTGAATATTGTATATGCTTAATTTTTAAACTAAATCTGCATTATTCTTGTAAAATTTGTGCATGTTTTTAAACTAATTTGTGCACATTTATTGAGTTGAATGTGCAAATTTTCTGTACTAAATGTGCAAAAAATTTCAATTATATGTGCATATTGCTAGTTAAACATTCTCCACATGACATTGTTAGCCGATTAATCCTTATTATTTGGTTTACAAGTTGTTCATGACCACTATTACTTTCTCATCTCTAAAAGTATAAGTTATAACTATGAATAAGCTTTAATAGAGGAGAGAGATAGAGTTCATCACAAAGAAGAGGAAAACAATGGAAAAATGAAAGTGAAACATGAATATGCATAATTTTTTGAGTTAAACGTGCATAATTTTTTAGTATGGTGTGTATAATCTTTATGAGAGAGAAAAAGAGATAAAAGAATGTACTATCTCCGTTTCTTATTACTCGCAACAAGAACCAAAAACGAATGCTTCACATTACTCGCAACAAAGTGATTTTTTTTCCTTTTTAGTAAGTTTTTTGTGTGATTTTACAAATTACCCATACTTTTTTTAAACACCCTAATTAAACTACTGATTTAATCTTATTAACTTAAACCCTAACATTGATTAACTTAACCATTTCCACCAGAATCATTCCCCTTCCATCTAAATTCATCATCACCTTCATTCGCAACCACCACCACTACCACCGATCTCCACTCTATCTTCATCTACCCAGAAATTTCTCTCTCTTTGTTCATCTCCCCTCAATTCGACCGCAACGTTCTATGGCGGCCGCCACTGTCACCGGAAGTCACTGCCACTGTCCCCTTGCTTTTCGTCGCCTCCATTATCTCTTTCTTCCTTTTCTTGTTGTTTCGTCATTGCCACTGAAGCTCAAATTTGTAGGTTTAATGGTCAAATTTAACCATGAAAACTCTAGATCTAGAGTTTTGATGGTTAAATTTGACCAATTAAAGCTTTAATTGATGATAGAGAAGGGTTTGTGGGTTCGTGGTTGGTTTGTGGGTTCGTGGGTGGTGTTGGGTTCGTGGTTGGTGATTAGGGGATTTTGCTCCCACCAATCGGAATGCGCCACGTGGGCCAATCAGGTCCTGCCAAGTGTCCTCCAGTTGGAACTGTCAGGGTTTGCCACGTGGCACACGCCTATTTGTCCACCCTGGACCTATTATGTCATGACACATGGCATCCTCCATGCCTAATGGAAAAACCGACCACCTAGGCCCAACTTCCAAGGGAAGCCCAATCAGCCCTAGGTTAACCTAAACCTAGGATTGGCACGTTTCCCAAGGTTATAAATACCTCCATTAATCCTCATTAAGGGGGATTACGCACATTTAACACTCTCACCTAGAGAGACCCAATCACTTTTATTTCCGCATTAATTACTCCTTAATCAAGTACTAACTTGACCGTCGGAGGCGGATCTCCAATCGTCCGGAGCATCCGTTTGTTTTGCAGGTACAGGCGTCCGGTTCCAGTCTCGGAATTGTAACTCTCCCGCAGGACATCAGAAAACCCCGAAACAGTTGGTTTGTGGTTTGTTTGTGGGTTCGTGGTTGGTGGCTTGTGGCTTGTGGGTGCAGTGGTTTATTCCAGATCTGTGGGTTAGCTGGGTTTGGTGGGTTGCTGCGGTCATAGGTTCGTGGGTTCATGGATTGTTGTGGCTTGTGGGTTCGGTGGGTATATGATTTATTAGTGATATGATTTAGTGGATGCCCATTAACTCTTCTATCTTTCTAGAATATTATTTATCTTATTAGGTTTTATTATTATCTAAGAAAACCCTATCTATTGTATATGTATACATATCCCTTGACATCTAATAAAAAATAGATTGATTTTTTCCTCCATTACTCCTTTTTCCTCTTTAATTTCATAACAGGAGTAAAATTTTTGGTTTGTCGTCCATATGACTTTTATTTGTAGAAAATTAGAAATTTTAAGTTTTGGAATAAATTGTCAATATAATACTCCAATTGGTAAAAAAAATACCAATCTCAGTCATTTGCTAATATATACAATTATACGTAGTAATATATAACTTTCAAAAGCATGACATGAAGTCATGAATGCAGCATATATACTTCGTACATAATATCCATTTTACCAACTTACAATTAGTTTTTCAATTATTTCAAAATGCATCTGCAAGTTAGGAAATGATTCAGCAAAATAGTTTTTCTCGTAAACTTCTAGCTTTCCCTTGCTCTTAAGCCCTTCGGATTTGAGTATTTGACAAAATTTATCCTTTTCTTCCCGTATCCAAGGCCGCCTTACATCACTCCACTGTCTCGGAGTCCCGTGAAGCACAAAACGCATGGTTTTATCCCTCTCGGTAAGCCTTTCCGCTACTCTTTGAATGACGTTATCATCAGTGAGATAAGCACCAGAAGAATTTAGTCCAACATCAACATAATGGATTTCAGTTATGCTGTCAAATAAGCTCTCTCTAGAAACTGGTACAATCTGTTTTCCTGCAAATTTGTTGAAGCTAGTAAGCTGCTGTGGGTCCTTCATATCTTTTATGTCTGAAAATCCAAGCTCCGTAATCAGTTGATTAAGTACTACGCCGCCCTTGCTAAAACCAAAAACAAAGGTTCTAGGAAGACATGAGGATGCATGTTCTGCAAAGAGCTGGGGTTCTTTGCAACTGATGTCCTTGGCCCTCTGCAAACAATTTAGCAGAGAACTATAAGCATGCCGTTAAGAATATGCAGTTGAGGCATCTGCATCAATATTCAGCACTTGTAATACAGAAATAATAGCTTAACTATGGATGATTTATGTTTATATTTGACAAGCCAAGAAGAAGTAAATCACATCAAATTTAAAAAAAGAATTAAGTTAATAGGGTTTTTCTTTTTTTTTTTTTTTTGGGCATCATTTTAATTATCATAGTTTCTCTTAGTTTACAGCTACATTGCTGAATGAACCCTAATTTTGTTTTATCAATAACATAGTTAAACATGTCATGCATATAAACTAATTTTCTATAGTTTTAACAGCAACACTTCAACAAGCTGATGCTTCAAACTCTTAATTTTCCAAGTATTAAGATGCAAGGAAGCAGTCATGCATATTTGCACCAGCATTGCACATTGGACAAATTTACTTGTACTCATCTAACCAGGTAGAGTCAGCTGGGACATCTATGTATTATTAATTGAGTAACATGAACATAACAAAGATTTTTTGAAAATAGCCAAATTTAAGAAGCAACTGTAAGAAAACCCTAAACCAAGATTTTCTAAATGAGGAGACGTGTTTAGATCCTACATGGCTGCATAACCAGCCCATATATCACAAGGTACATATGAATGATATGATTATTTCTCCTTTTAAGATGGATTTGAGTCATTATCAATTTCAATGATGCCAGTCAGCTTTTAACCAAACAACATACCTTAGCCCAACAAAAGAATCAAGACACAAGCACAAAAAAGTCTAAAATAGCAAGAATTGATTTGGAATTCAACATATTAATAATCACAGTTGCATTCCAATTTACAAACACTATCTGCAACTGTAATCTTCCGTCACAGCTACTAACTAATTCTAATTCTTACCGGTCAAGCTAAAATCCATCACACAACCTCAGCCACAAGATTGACAGCACACTAGGTGTAATGCAACCACACAATTTTTCACTAAATTCAACATTTCAAGGATATTAGGCTCAAGTCATAAACGAACCCCCGAGGATTAACATAACAAGCAAAACACTTATTTATGAGGTGCCTCTAGTAATGCAACTAGTGACAAAACCCTGAAAAGCATATTATGAATATGCTGTGAATCTTTTGTACTCTTATCTATGCAGACCTTTAGCACACAGCAGTGTGGAAAAAGTATTCAGAAATCAACGCAAAGGAAGATGGCATGCATGGGAAAATATATCTCATAATATGAAGAGAAATAAAGAGGGGGAAGGAGAGGGGGGGGGGGGAGGGTCACCACATTTCTAACAAGAAGCAGAGGATCCTAAATGTGAGAAAATAGTGTCTTATCAACCAAGAAAAAGTAAGTCAAAGGAACAAATTTGGGTAGTTTCTATACTACAATGGATTAATGAATCAGAAAATTACCCATTTTAAGAACCTTGTAAGTTGTGACAATGTTAACATATAAGCAAAGGCAGATAATCTTAACATAGTAGCCTAGTTTGGGGAATTGGAAATTTTCAATGTGAGAAAATGTAACTTTCTGCCCTAAAATCTACCAAGAATCACATATTTCCTGTATGATTTTTCATTTTGGATAAGGCATGAATATCTAAGGACAGATTCATTGCCCATAGGAGAAAAGGTGTTCGATTTAGTTACTTGTTTCCGCCACCTGAACAAGCAAATGACCGGTCCTTAACACAATCCAATAATGACTCATCACTAATTATGCAAACAATAACCAAGTACACAGATGAGGGGGGTGAGAAAAAGTTAATATCACCATTAAGTGTTTCTCTAGGACACAATAGTCCATAGCTCAACAATCTATAAAATTCTAGTAGAGCAACCTAATTTCTCTATTACATATTAATTTGCATTTTCATGCTCATACTACATATAATCTCAAAATTTCTGAGCTACACATCTCAAAAGTAATCACATCAATCAAGGAAGAAAATTATGTTGTAGATCATGACATGACATATCATTTGCAAATGAAGAAAAGATAAAAGCTACTGATATATAATATACCAAACAGACATACCTCTTCTAGGAAATTTGACAAAAGTGCAATAACAGACATGGAGGCTGGAAATCCATCAGGCCTATAGGATTGAGGCTCCCCCCGTTGGTTAAGAGATTGAATAAATTCCTTGTATATAGCAAAGGGTCCATTGAATGTAGGGGCCTCAATAACCCATGCATTAATAGAAGCTCCAAGTTTTGACACAAGAATGTCAGCTATATTTTGTATATCAGATAGCCTCTCAATAACTGGGTTGTTAGTCCCTTCAACTCGATCTCCATTAAAGAAGATAACATTCGCTGTAGGCACCTGGATATCATATCAAATTTCATACTCAAATATCAATATATGAATATGGAAAATAAAATCTCATATGAAAGAGTGCATTTTCGAGTTGAACCAAGACACCCATAATTACTCTTCTGCACTCACATCGATATAAATTCACTAGCTTTGTTAAGCTAAGAAGTGTGTGAATGAGTTGCTAACTTTCTGATAAGATGATAACTTACAAGAAGTGATTTTGAAGGTGAAACACAGAGAGATGCTGCTATTGTACAAATTGCAGTACCCTTTGGGCAAACAGGAACCTTTAAGATACCAGTCCAACGATCCATGAATATCTGCTATCAGAAAAAGTGAACATTCACTTAAGGCAAAGAGAATCATTCAGGAGGACTAGCAAAGTTTCAGCTAAAGGTAATAAGCTTTGACTCATTATCTGCAGCAGTGCATCTCAGTTTTCAAATAAAGGCCCCTTTGCCCTTAGTTGGATTTGGAATCATTTTCAAATCAACGCAACTATTGCTGAGGAACTATGTTACTCAAATTTCTGTTATTCCAATTGTGGGAAAATTATCCTATTTGTTGCTGAAAAACCTGAAGTTTAAGCACCCAGTCATATTACGAAACAAAGACACTAAAACGAAGATGAAAACATAATTACACTATGAGCTACATTATGCTACCCAAGAACCCATCCTTTTCATTTCCATCCAAAGTACCCAAAGATAAATCTTAGAAGTCCCACATAATTAAACTAAGACGCGGCCACACTCAAAGCACATTGATGAATATAATCCCTCCTTCTCCTCAATAACCGTCCAAGTAAACTATCAAATAACTGTTTGTACAATTACACTAATGTAGGATTTCTAATATAAATTCTTCCTTGAAGTTCAGTTTATATGCGGGAAAGTATACGCCATTAATGTATAGAGTCCATTAGGACTCTAATAACACGACGTTGGTATTAAATTGTGTTTAGATAGTATCATCTAAATGCCAAAATACTTATTCAGTAGTACCAACGAATGCAAAAATGTTTTTTTGGTATCAATATAATTCCTTGCTGGTATTTAGATGATACCATCTAAACACAATTTAATACCAACGCCGTGTTATTAGAGTCCTAGTGGACTCTATACATTAGTGTCCTAGACAACCTTGTTTATACGCAATTTCAAGGAAAATAAATGTCGTACTTTTAAAAAAACCTGGCCTAACAAGAGTTTTTTAATGGTTCTTGTAAATTTGACAAAAGAGTGAAGCTAATAAGTATTACAGTACCAATTAACAAATTCATGCTTGGAAAGTAATAATTAGTAGCATTTAAACAATATTCAATATTGTATTGCATATTGAAATGAAGAAAATGATGATTGATCAACTTGATCAATAAGATGGACTGTTTTAAACTAAGGTACCAATCAACAAATTCCTGGAGCAATGATAAATCTATCTCTGTTCTCGAAGTCACTCTCTTGACATTTTCGATATACTTAGCCATTTCATAACTACAATAGACGACAATTTTGGAATTAAAACACCGGATATCAAAACATCCCAAGGGTTAGTCAGTAAAAAAGTCCTCTTTATTATTAACACAAAATTCAGATCAAATTCCACAACATTACAAGTTTACAGCTATGACATGCTTAGTATTATCAACATTTCAAATTGGGTAAAAACCATAAACATATTTATTCATCATATGATCCTTTCAACAGATTATATCCTCAATTATCTCAAAAAACAACTAAACCCCAGTTCAGAAACCAACAATATTACTTCAAAATTACAACAATTAATTAAAACAACACATGTATTATACAGATTAATAAGCAAAAATCCATGCGTTATTACTATGTTAAAAAATATATATAAAAAAAACGAAAAATAATTTCAAGGAGAATTAAGCTAAGTAACTAACCTTGAGTCCTTGACTTGGGAGTTGAGACTTGAGAGAGGCTTTCTCTCGAACACCTTTTTTATTTCTCCCTAGTTTTATCTAGAATCTGGGTATCAATTGCTTTAATGATTGGGCTAACTTATCAGAAAGTTTGGGCCTTCATTCTTTTTATTTTAGTACGAAGTATATTTGATTATTGGGGATTTCAGTTACTTTGTATTTAGGGTGATAATCGAATCCCTTTCACGGTGGTGGAAGGAATGCCTCTAATCAATTAGACTAACTTTTATTCTCAAACTAGTATAAGTGTTGTGCAATGCACGATTTTTACAAAATTTTATTACGAATTACAACGTTTAGTTATTACTACAATAATTAATTTTAAAAATGAATTACATTACTGAACATAATAAAACTAACTTCATTATATACATTATTATAACAATAAAATCAAGGTCAATACCTGTGCGATACACTTTTAGTCCCACACTTTGATAGGCATGTGAGTAATAATTTAATTAATTATTCGTTTCATTTTTAGTGAATGGTGGAGAATTTAATTTTTGTTTTATTAGTATTATTGTTATGATTATAGTCAATGGGTATTTTTATCTAATATTCCTATAATATTATAAAAATAAAAAATAAATAAAAAACATAGTTTTGTATAAATATATAATTTAATTTATTATTTAGGATTACATATTTGTATCATGTTTACAAAATGAGGTTCAATGTTAAGTATAGATTCTTACAACTTTATTTATTTTACTTTTCATCGAAAATTGTTGATGGGTTTATTCTTGAAAATAAAATACAAAGTACAAAACAAGCATATAATTAGGCAAAAACAAGCATAATTTAAAGTTCTATAGAAAATTACTACTTTAATACCCAATAAAAATGGTAAGAAAGATATGAAAATATATATTGGTAGAACATATATGAAAAGAAAAAAAAAAACAATACATTTAGGCGGGAAATTTTTTAATTAGAAGATGACACGTGTTATCCAAAATTTTGCCTTTAGTATAAAATTATAGATAGAAAGATTCTATATACTCCGTTGTTTGGTACTGAGTACCTAATAAGTTTTAATTTGGTACCTAATAATTGGTAGTTTAGTACCAAATACCAATACATAGCTTTGTTTTAGGAATTTCCTGAAAACCTAAAACACTGGACTTATACCTTGTGTAAGAAGATACAAGTATTTCGTATAATTAATTGATCAAGCAATCATAATATAGTACTATTGTTAGGGTAAACATCTTTCTTTCTCTGTTCCTTACCTGTGTAAATTGTTATTGAACTCGTGATCATTAAGTGTAGCTAAAAATTTGCAAGTTTACTCCGTAGAAGAGTGAAAAACTAACCCGATCAATCTAACCCAACTCGAAAAATACTCAACCCAACTCGAAAAATACTCAATTCAGATTTTGACTCATATGAATACAATTTTTTAGCATGACTCAAATTGGAAGTAAACCAATCAAACCCGACTTAGTTACTCAAATTGGCACCTCCACTACTATAGTTCACTTCTCCCGCCTCTAGCTATCTCTAGACTCATTCCACTCTTTCATTTTCTTCAGTTCTTCTCCAACTGAAGCTGCTTCCTTCAGGTTCTTCACTCTCCCTATTTTACTTTCAGTTTTTTTATATAAAATATTCTTTTGAACTTTTTGATTATTTGCCCCCTTTTTTAGCCTGCTTATGCATTTGAGTTGGTTTATATATTAAGCCTCTCATTAAGTAATACTCCATTTGAGTAGTATCACATCATCAGTACTGTATAATGTTGTAAATTTGGGATTTTTGCTTGATAATATTCTACATTGCTTGAGTTCAGCACATAGTAGAATGCAATTACAATTACGATTACAATTCATTGAATTTCTCTTGTTATGTATATGAATTGAAGATTGAGCTGAATTATGTGGTTGATTGAGATTAGGTTTTCAATTTCACAATTAGGGTTTGTGCTGCTCAACAAGTTGAGATCTTTGAATTGTGAATTGTTGTTCGAAAAATCATCAAATTATGAAATGTAGATTGTTATGGGTATTTAGGTTTTTACAAAAATAAAAATAGTATATTACATCTTGCTGAGTGTATTGGTTGTTGATTCAATTTGGGATTTTTATTGGGTTACTCTCTGACAATCATGTTATACAATCTCTGAATGACATCAAAGAAGAGTTTATAAGTTAGGTTTTTTAATTGTGGCATCAGCTTATTTGCACGGCGTAAATTCCTGTCGTCCTATATTGCAACTCAATCTTTGGTCAAGATTACCTCAAGCTGCCTATGTATCTATCCAGGTTTACATCAGCAAATTTTGTAAACGCATCAAGTTGATTACGTCGTATTTTGTTCGAGCATTTTAAAAAAAACTAATGTACTTGAAATCCAATTCACCTGATTTCTTCGAATTGTATAATCTCCTACAAGGGCATAATATCTCTCGATGTCACCTCCTCCAAATCCATGCCCGAATCATCTGTTTAGGTGCTCATCAACACAGTCATATAGCAACTCGTCTAATTGGGCGTTACTCTCTTCCGATTGCTTTGCGTGTGTTCAAACAATTGCGAGCCCCAAGGATATTTCCTTTCAATGCCATTATCAGAATCTTGTCTGAAGAAAAGAGTCAATCCTCCCTTACTGTTTCTTTCTTTAAACGTTTAAAACAGCAGCCACTTTTTCCTAATGATTTTACCTTTTCTTTCCTCCTAAAAGCTTGCATCCACTCTGGCAATGCTGACTATGTAAGTCAATTCCATACCCAGATCATGAAAGCTGGTTTTCTGGGTAATTCGGCGGTTTGCAATGGCCTTGTTGCTGCATACGCAAAGGGTCTAAAAGACTTTATATCAGCTCACAAGGTGTTTGATGAAATGCCTGAGAAAAATATGGTGTTTTCCTGGACCTGTTTGATTGATGTTTATGCTAAGTCTGGTCTATCTGAGAAAGCTTTGCAGCTGTTTTTTCTGATGGTTAAAGGAAACATGACACCAGAGAATGAAACCATGGTCAGTGTTCTATCTGCTTGTTCAAAGCTGGATATTGGTGAGTTGGAGAACTGGATAGAGAAACTTACAGACACTGTAAAGGACTACGGCCCTGTTAGCTCCACTGGTGACTCGATCAACATGGTGCTTACTTATTTGTATGGAAAATGGGGTAATGTGGACAAAAGCAAGGAAGCTTTTGATAGAATTGGTGATAATGGTAAAACAAGTGTGGTAGCGTGGAATGCTATTATTGGTGCCTATGTTCAAAATGGTTGTGCACTGGAGGCATTGAGTCTTTTTAAGGTGATGATAGATAATCCTTATGCAAGTCCAAACCATGTTACGATGGTAAGTATCCTCTCTGCTTGTTCTCAAGTAGGGGATATTGATCTTGGTATTTGGGTTCATGAGTACATGAAATCTCGAGGACGAGAAAACGTGCTGTGCACAAACTCATTCTTAGCGACTGCTATGGTTGACATGTATTGTAAATGTGGTGATCTGAGCAGAGCTAAAAAGGTTTTTCAGTCTTTGCTTTCAAAGGATGTTATATCGTATAGTGTCATGATTATGGGTCTGGCTGTGAATGGTGAAGGACAAGAAGCATTAACCCTTTTCAATGAAATGCTGGACTGTGGGCTCTGTCCCAATAGTGGAACATTTCTTAGTATCTTATGTGCATGTTGTCACTCAGGGTTGTTAGAGGTAGGGCGCCAAATTTTTCAAGATATGAAAATAAGATTTTCTATCTCACCTCAATTGGAACACTATGCTTGTTATATTGACCTCCTGGCTCGAGTTGGTCATATTGAAGAAGCCCTTGATGTTGCCAAATCCATGCCCTTTAAACCTAATAATTTTGTTTGGGGTGCCTTGCTTGGAGGTTGCCTGCTTCATTTTAAGGGAAAACTTACTCAAGACATGTCCAGAAAACTAATCGAAGTTGATCCACAAAATTCTGCTGGCTATGTCATGCTATCTAATTCTTTGGCTCGTGATCATGAATGGAGTGAAGTTTCAGGCCTAAGGCAGTTGATGAAGGAGCAGAGGGTGAAAAAGCACCGTGGCTGTAGCTGGATTTGCATTGATGGGCTTGTCCATGAATTTCTGGCTGGACCCTGTTCACATCCTTATGTTGCAAGCATCAATGGCATGTTGGGTTTTTTGTTGAAGGAAATGAAGTTGCCGAGTTAGCAGATAATAAATGAGCTCTGCCGTATTGAGATGCTTGACATATGCCGTAAAATTTGCGCAATATATCCAACTAATGTGGAGGTATCTACTAATCTTTCCCCAGAATATGTACCTTGCTTTGTTGTGGTCTTGCTTCTCTTGCTTAGAAACTGTTCCTATCTTGTGCCAAGATTTGCATATCAAATATCCACAATACCAGCTTTCAAATGATTAACAAGAAAGTTATCCAAACTGAATGCACCTCCCTTGTCCTCTCTTCTTTGGTGTGTGAATATTGTATTTTGAACAAAGGTTCTTTGAAGCAGGCACAGGAATTTCATTACTGGATTCACTGTCCGGACCTTTAGTGTCTTACTCTTGTATTGCAGCTTGATGCTGCAGTTTATCACCTATGCTACTACATGCAAGAGTTATATATGTATCTGTTATATGTTTTAAATGTAAGCCTGGTCTTTGTTTGTTATAAGCTTAATGGGAAAAGTCCAACTTTAGGAAAGAGCTTAGAAGCAATACCCATAACATGACAGTTAAAAGGAAAGATGTGTAAATGGAAAGACAGAGTAGATTTCAGAAGAAATATGTTACAGGGTGATGGTCTGATGGATTCATTATGGTTAAAAAAGAGTGGGGAACAAGCTTAAGTTTTGGTCTCCTGTCCTTTGTTAACTTTTTTGTTCAATCTGTTTTCATATTGTCTCCAGCATATAATATAATAATCATTCTGGAATCCGGATTGTCATGGAATCACAGAATATGGAAGTATTCTCTTCTTCATTACCTTTCTGGTTTGTCTGTCCGTTTCTCTTGCTTGCCTCACACCCAACTTTTCTTTTTCTTTGTATCATAACCCATTTGGAGTATGCATTATTAATTATGTAATTGTTCGCTTTGAATTGTCAAAGACAACTGTCTTACTCCTGATTATTAGCAAAGAGTTTGATTTTTGTTGTCATAAGTCCACCCTAATGTTGCATTCGACAATTTGCAGATGCAGAGAAATGTGAGCTTCTCGATTTTCTTTCAGCAATACCCTGAAACTGCAACCATGATAGTACTATCGATGAACTTGGAGAGATGTAAACAAAATTTGTAAGGGAGACTCTTTCATTAAATAATCTAGCATCTAATTCTTATGCTTACAACACTTTGCTCATTTTTTATGACATAGTTAATCATTGAAGCATTTTTTTTTCCCTATTGCCATTGTCTTGTTATTCTGTAGGACCTGGGGGCAGAAATTTTCTATACATATTATTATGGCATTGACTTTAGTCTAGTCCTAGTGTTGTTGCACATTAACATCCATACCTATTGGGGATGTATCTGTATAATTGCTTGTATTTGAGCTGCATGAATTGTCATGCTGTTGTATTGTTTAAATTATGCAATTTTATAAAATAGAGAAAATAGAAAGACCCATTCAGATAAGGGAAGGGTGAGGAATTGCTGGCTCCTTTCTTAACCATACTTCTTGAATCAACCAAGTAAATCAGCAACAGCACTATATGGTTGTATCACATTTATGCTTCTGACATGATTATCAGCATGTATTGCAGAGCTTTGTGCTATAAATCTATAATGTATCACATATGTTATGCGACCTTCCATGAGGTCCATGAGGTGTTATTTGGGCCATATTGTCAATTGTATATATGGACTTGAATGCTTGGAACATATATTTATATTGTCCATGCAAATCAAGGTTGGGGTTTGTGTGCATATCCCAGAGTGTTCCACTGTAGTTACTAGTTAGTTAATGATGCAGCTATTCTTCTAGAGATTGTCAATGAGCTATCTTCTAACCTTCAGAGTGTTCCACTGTAGTTGGTTGTTGCAGCTATTGCATTTTCTAGGGATAATCAATAAGCTATCTTTGAACCTATAAAGAACTTGAACCAAACCTTTATAATATCTTTATTTTAGAGCCTGAAGTATTAATGAATAAGAGTGTGGTTGGATTACTATATATTGTCCGTAGCAGTAAGACATGCTAGGACAGCCAAATAGCCAATTGTGGCTAACACTGGTGCTTATATTGCACCTGTAAAGTGTAAATGGGTAAATTAGAGGTGTGGCTTGAAATTCTTATTTAATCATGGAGGGTGTAGAGAAGGCTTCAGTGGTCAATACCTGTTATTGTGTAATTGTGTTAACATGGGTCAAGTATTCTTATATACTCCTATTTTTAGTTGTGGTACAGTATCTGATTCTGACGTGTGTTAGTAATTCGCACACTATAGCTATGGATGTTCCTTACATTTCGAAGCTTTTAAGAGATTCGCTCTGGCATTTTTCTTTCTGGTTTTCATGTGTTTAACTATGATAGTTTTTTTTAATTGTGACAGACTTTGCAACGTAAGTTTCATGTGCCTGACGATCTGACATATACTAATGTTTAGCAGCTTGACCGCTGTTAGCTATTCTAATAGTGCTCTGTTTTTTTGTGCATGTTTTTTCCCCTCTCTCTTTTAAATTTTCTTCCCTGGATTATCTTAATCCTTAATGCAGGTGACAGAACTATTAACTTAATTTTAAACGTAAGAGGCTTTCGATCTTATCGATTTTTGGTACCCTTGCAAGTTACAACAATCCTAGAAGAAGTATTATAGTTTGCATGCCCTAGGTCTTTTAAGAGAAATGCCACTGGATCGGAGCTTTGGCTGTAGCAAAAATGAAGACTGCTGCATTTATTTCAGTCACTTGTAGTGAGTTAGAGACTCAGTTGGTGCCTTTAGCCTGGAATTGCTGCATTCAAACTAGCTTTCTTTCATTTGTATTTTGGTTCTAATCATTCTATATCTTACCAAGGTCAGAATTTCTGTTTCATCCTATGCTTTCATTTTCTTGTGTTGTACTCGCTCTTCACAAATTGGATCTTCAATTTTAGTAAGTGTAAGGAAACTCTATCTCCACCCTATGAACATCTATATGCAATTATTCAAGCGCTTTGTTGTTTTTGCAGATTGAACTGATTATTCTGTCAGTCTTATCAGCTGTTCTCAAAATTTTATCCGAGGAACAATGAGGAATGGCAAGGACCAATTTACTGATCAATCCCCCATATTAAATGGTAGGGAGTACGAGTAGTACTTAGTAATTTTTTAAAGTTGCTGTAAAACTTCATAGTCAAGCAATTTACTGCTAAACAGAACTGACCCTTTCCCAGTATTCTATTCAGGTGTGTATCACAGCGCAAGGGAGTTGATTGACTGCCCTGAAGGTCTTTGCCTCTTTGGTGTAGTCAATAAGGGCCAGAGTCCAGAGACCCCTCGATTCCCCCCTTAATGAGAAGATTATTGAAAGATAAGCATATATTCTTGAATCATATTAATGTGGCCCAAACCTGTATAATTGTGTTCAAATTTGTATCATGAATTAGATATATAGTTGAAATCTCTATTTTAATCTTGATATTTGGAAATCTTGTGGTCTCTTTTCTTGCTCTTCTCAGAAATTTGGTGCAAAATAACCCAGAATTAGCCAACTTGATTAGACATTAGTGAATGTTATGTATAAACAATATAATCAGCATTCAGCACAAGTCTTTTTAAAAATAATAAGAAGAAAAAAATTGTTATTTCTACTTTATGATGCAATTAGGGCGTTTTGGTACTGATTGTATGTCGTTAATTGTTATGGTGGGGATTGTGGTACTATTAGAGATAGAAGCAAAATAACATGATTTTAATATATGCTAAGAAAGTAAGAATTATATTGCGTTTAGGAAATCTAATACGGATTAGATACCAAAATTTAACAAATTAATGCAGAGAAAACTTAAAACAACATAACCTAAAAAACTAGACTTAAACGGTTATACCAAACATTAATATTAGTACTATACTCCCTTAGCACTTGCACCCGCACCCTTCAATGCTTGACTCCCTTCAAACCATGAGCAAAGTACAAGAAAGTTGGATCAGTAGCACCATCCTTGTAATAAGCCATGACTGTAGCACCATCATCGTGCATACTCTCACCCACGAAAAACTGAAGATCATTGAGCTTCGACATCAGAAACTTAGTTGCTGCCTCGACGTTCTTCTTGAACTCATCAGCCTTATGACCCTCTAACTTGGCAGTCAAGTTCTTGATGTACCTCTTAACCCATGCAATAAACTGCTTCTTATCATAGGCAGGTTGCTCTTGGAGCCTAAAGTTGTCGACAATGTCGACAACCTTGATACCCTCCTCGTCACCAACAACTTCATCATCTTCTCCTCCTTCGGCAGAAGGGTTGGCACCAATGTCGACTTCAATGTGACCGCCTTTGACAACCCACTTTCCTTCTACCTCCCAAAGACATCCATTGAAGAGTTCGTCGCAGCGGTACGAGTCGGACAAAAGCTCGTCGCCACTAATGATATCCTCGTAAACGATCATTGTTGTAGACTTTTTTTTTTTCCTCTCTTCTTTCTTGCTAAGAATAAGAATCAATCTAAATTTTTTTCTTTCGTATTTTTTTGTTGGCCTTACTGTAATATGTTATGTGTATATATAGAGAAACTTAAACCGCCTTAAAGTAACCTAATTCTATAAGAATTACAACTTTTGCAAAGTTTAGGAAACTTTCTTTTAAAAAAAAAATAAAAAATTAGGAAACTTAACAAAGGTGACGTAGCATACAAGATATGTAATTTCCTAATTACACCAAGTTATCACCGCCTTATAATTTCTCCCATTGGATTTATGATAATCTGATAAAATTAAAGCACTCTTAAGATTTTTGGAAATTTATTTTTATCCAATAATTGACCGTACTAGTGTTATTTCCTAAATTCTATACATCTATCTTTTCACACTAACTAGGGCAGTGAAAGCGCGAGATGCGCGTGGAGTGGCTTGCCTTTTTTTAATGTTTTTATTAGATTGTGTTTAAACTCTTCTTGAGTTTTTAGGGAAAATATTTTGGTAAATTAATGGAATGTGTATATTGGGTTGTGTTTAAACTTTTCGTTTTTCCTTGCACATCAGCCCAATTGTTTACAACTTTTCCTCAGAAAACATCTATGCAATTACTTCCTTTGTACTTTTTTACTTGACCCGATTTGACTTTTACACTATTCAACACCCTTCTTTTGACCGTCTTTCTGTGTAATATGTAAGGAAAAACATATTCATGTGAGATTTTTTGAATTCGTCTCAATAAATACTATCATAATATATAACTTTTATAATTTTTACTTTTGGAAAACTAAAGTTATTAATCGTTAAAGTTTTGCATTGACAAACGTGATAAAAGAAAAAGGTCAAGTAAAAAAGAACATAGGAAGTATTCAACAGTGCAATATTGCAAAAACATCTACAAACTTATTTAAGAATATATTAAATATAATTCAAGAATCATAGAGTACATATTATATACTAACAGAAGTAATTCAACATTGTATATGCGTATAATAATAGAAAAGTTTTTTGGAACATTTACTATTTGCAAGTATATACTATCACCCAACCTAGTAATTACTCTACATAATAAATTATTTCTGCTAGTGGCTCACCTTAGTTTATTGTATTTTATCTAAACAACTAAACCTAGGACAATGCTCTTAACAATTGAACTAATTACTTCAGGGGGTGATTGCAACATACCGGCCAATGCAACTCTGCTTTATGACATTAAGTTTGTGAATATATACTCAAGAAATAGGTCAAAGTGAGCACAATCTTGCTTAGTGCTCACTTGATCATACTTGATTTGATGCACCAAGAGAGTTTAGTCCAAGTGAGCTCCTCTCCCTGACTCTAATAAATTTCTTTTAATTTGATCTGAAAAAGAAAAGAGTCAAACATCATTTATATGATTTCCCTCGAAACAATTAATAATTTTGGAATCAAAATAGGATTCTTATTTTAAGTACAAAAGCTAATACTTTATTAATGCATGAGAAGTACACAACATTTATACTCCATTCATAGAAGCCAATTTAGAATTAGCTGCCTCTAAATTAAAGAATGAAATTCGCGGCTGCCACTACGCGTGCTGCTGGAGGTATGTGGCTGGTTCTAGTCGCGGCAGAGCTGGCGGTGGAGTGCTGTTGTTTCAGGAAGTAGTCGAAGCAGGGGATTGTTCTTTGGGTCGGGCCGGAGTACGAAAAATGAGGCGCCGGTGATCGGTGACCCACCTCCCAGATTCTCCGCCCGCCCTCTTCCACCGCCTCCCCCTCTCCCCTCTCGAGGATTTCCTGGGCCCCTTCCTCAGCATCGCCATTTCCAGCCCGTCTGCCGCGAAAAGGTCCATCCTTATCCTTGTCATTTATTCTAATTCCCGCTATTTGTAGGATTAATTCTTGCTATTGCTAACTTTCTTGGCCCCAATTTGATTTATATTTGGGATTGTGGAAAGATGGTGAACAGTTAGAACAGAGATGTGGAATTTTCTATTTCAATGGACTTGGTGAACAGAGGTGGAGAAGAGAGGGAAAGTTGAAAAATGCTCAAAAGTAATGGCGACACTGAGATGGAGAGGGGAGAGAAAGCTCAACACTCATTACATCTGTACACGTGGAAGGACATAAATGTAAGAAACTAGATGGAATGAACGGTTTTTTCATCTAAGATTTTTAATTATTTAATTTATTGTATTTAATAATTTCAGACAAAATTACAAAAGCTTAATATTTTTTTTACTATAATTTATAATGAATTTATTAATTTAGCGACATAATTTTTAATTCAAAAATAAAATACAAATATTTCTTCTTATTGGTCGAAATAAGTATATTCTACGTGGCGCTCCGAATGCTCTCCAAAAATGCCTACTTTATTTATATATATTAGATTACGGATGGGAAAAAAAACGTAAACAAACATTTTGCAGGGCATATAGGTCCGTACACTATTCATAAGTGTAATCTCCTATTTTTTATAAGGTAGGGATAAACAAAAAATTGATTATAGCTGACAGTGTTTATTTTATTTCCTAAACTTTATACTTTTTACTCCGTCACTTTTTTTTGGATAAATTTTCTATTTGTTTTTTTTATGAATCCTTCGTTTCTATTTGTTAGTCTCATATACTATTTTGAGCGTTTCAAAAAGATCTACTTATATTGTATTTATTCTATTTTCAAGTTAGTTTTTATTTTCTATTTTATATATATTAAATTCTTATTGGTTAAATTAATTAATTGTGGACTGATAACATGGCTCTAAGTAAGAAAATCCCTCCCTTGAATGATGCAATTATGGCTGATACTTTCCCAAAAAAAAAACATCAAAAAATTTAATTAAGGCAAAACTAATTATGAATTATTTTTGTACTTTAATGTTAGATTCCAAATAGTCTTCTTTTCTTATTTTATGTGATTGATTCCATATGGGACTATCATATGGAAATGGAGGGAGTATTAAAAAAATTAGTGTGAATTGGAATTCTATATTGTTGAGCAGTGAAAATTTGATGAGTCCAATATATCTAATATTTGACATTAGATTATTAATAATGTTAGATATTATATTATTAATGTCAGATATTAGAATATTAATGTCATATATTATAATATTATTGTCAGATATATTAGACTCACGGTGAGTCCGACCCCACGCAAAAGCTTCTCATACATAAGATATTTATTTCTTCACTTATTACAAAGTATAATGCATTAATATGTACTACGTATTTTTATAAAATTAAAAATAAAATGTAGAATTTAAATCAAAAGTTATTAGGAACGAGTAACATGAAATACAAAACATGATTTTCTAAACATCTCAGAAGATCATCTCGTTTCCACTTATTACTTAAGAGCACTTCTAGCTAGATATAGTTGTATCAGGACATATTCATGTATTCATGTTGTATCATGCATCTCTAAACATAAAATTAAAAAAGTTGTTTAAACCCAAGCCACAACTCAACATGTTCGGTAGCATGTCATACATGCCTAGATTGTCTACCTAAGTACCTATGCATGCCCGTGCCATGCTTTTTTCATATTAAATTGTGCCATGTCTCTACTATCGAGCCATTCTAACCCAATGTCATCTTTACCACTAGTCGGTTTGGCTACCCCCATGTGAGGCACACATGTGTCTTAAAATGCCAAAGGCCAACCCATAAACATCAAAAACAATTACCCGAGAGGGCTTAAACTTTCTCGAACAGTTGTGGGTTTCCCGCCAACACCTTCCTCCAACTGATTTTTCTAATTTCTCAATAATTTTCTGAGATTTTTCTCTACTGTTTTTGAAATCCCAACTCAAATTCTAATCTTAATTTATTCATATAATTTCCTTAATATGAATCATCTTATGCAAAATCTCTCTTTAAAACCAAATTCTTACCAATTTTTCTATGTTACTTTCACTCTCATCAAAGAACCAATTTCTTTCTTTTCAACTTTCATAACTCAAAACCCAGAAATTGATCAAAACCCAGATCAAATACCCAGTAAATTTGATCCTAGTTCATTAAATTCCTCCAATTTGGTTCACCCCAATTACATAAAACCAAATTTATCAAATTCTAACCTTTCTCATAATAATGGGCAATACTATGATATCATTTCTTGTAATAAAATGATTACAAGATATATTAGATCAGCTGATTTAGATTCAGCTCTTAAAGTGTTTAATACTATGCCTGTCAAGAATACCATTACTTGGAATTCATTGTTAGCTGGGTATTCTCGAAAACCCGGCACGCTAGCAGAAGCCCGCCAACTGTTTGATGAAATTCCTGAACCAGATATTTTCTCGTTTAATACAATGTTGTCCTGTTATTTGCGTAATTCAGATGTAGATGGTGCTAGGTTGTTTTTTGAGAAAATGCCTGTTAAGGATATTGCTTCTTGGAATACCATGGTTTCGGGTTTTGCGGAAAATGGGATGATGAAGGAAGCAAAAAGGCTGTTTTCAGCAATACCGGAGAGGAATAGTGTGTCGTGGAATGCAATGATATCGGGTTATGCAGAGAGTGGGGATTTGGATACGGCTGTTCGGTTGTTTAGGACAGATCCATTTAAGAGTGTGGTTGCTCTGACTGCATTGATAAGTGGGTATATGAGAATTGGCAAGGTTGAGATGGCTGAAAAAATGTTTGAGGAAATGGAAATAAAGAGTTCAGTGACATGTAATGCTATGATAGCTGGTTATGTTGATAATTCTCGAGCAGAAGATGCAATTAATCTCTTTAAGATGATGGTAGAATCTAGAGTCGAGCGAACTCCGTTAACCCTGACTAGTGTTTTGTTGGGTTGTAGCAATTTATCAGCATTAATCTTAGGGAAGCAAATTCATCAATTTGTGTACAAGTCTCCGTTGTACAAGGATACGACAGTTGGGACATCAGTGCTGAGTATGTATAGCAAATGTGGAGTTTTAGAGGATGCATGGAAATTGTTCTTAGAAGTGCCAAGGAAAGACATGGTTACTTGGAACGCCATGATTTCAGGGTATGCTACTCATGGATTAAGTCAGAGAGCCCTTGCTCTGTTCGATGAGATGAAAACCAAGAAAGTAAAGCCAGATTGGATCACTTTTGTTACAGTTCTATCAGCTTGTAATCATGTTGGACTAGTAGATCTCGGGATCCACTATTTTGATTCGATGCAGAAGGATTATGGGGTTAAGGCTAAACGAGAGCACTACATTTGCATGGTAGACCTCCTAGGCCGTGCTGGTAAGCTTAAAGAAGCTACCAACTTAATAAAGCAAATGCCCTTCAAACCACATGCTGCAATATTTGGGAGCCTCTTGGGGGCTTCTAGGATCTACAAGAATATAGAATCGGCTGAGTTTGCTGCTAACAACTTGCTTCAGGTAGATCCAACAAATGATGCAGCATATGTCCAACTAGCTAATGTTTACGCTGTTAATAAGAGTTGGGACAATGTTTCTAGGGTTTGGAAATCTATGAAGAAAAATAATGTGGTGAAAATGCCTGGTTACAGTTGGATCGAGATAAAGAACACAGTTCATGAGTTTAGGTCAAGTGATAGAGTACACCCAGAATTGCCTGCAATTCATGAAAAGCTTGGTGAGCTAGAGAGAAAAATGAAGTTGGCTGGATATGTGCCTGATCTTGAATTTGCACTGCATGATGTTGGTGAGGAGCAAAAGCAAAAACTGCTGTTATGGCATGGTGAGAAATTGGCAGTTGCGTATGGATTGATTAAGGTGCCCAAAGGCTTGCCTATACGTGTTTTTAAAAATCTGAGAGTATGTGGAGATTGTCATCGAGCATTGAAGTTCATATCAGCCATAGAAGGGAGGGAAATAATTGTAAGAGACAGTACAAGGTTTCACCATTTCAAAGATGGGAGCTGCTCTTGTTGTGATTACTGGTGAGCATGATAATGAAACAGAAAACATTAGATTAATAGGTTGTGTTATGATTCCTATACTAATTCATTTTTATTATGCATGATTCTGATAATTAGAGCAAAGCTTCAAGATTTTTGCTTAAACTTCTCCCTTCATCATATACACATTCTTTTTCTGATCATCTCATTTTAATCTATATACTAGCTCTCTTTTCAAGTAACTCCCCAGTGTTCTAGAGCAACAAATTATAGTCAATTAAAGAATTATTCTATCCTCGGTTTAGGAAAATAGGTTCTTTGGGGGAACAACTTAGGTCATTGGCAGGTAGCCAAGTGGTTCGTGTGGGTGCAAAGCGTAGTCGAAGGCCTAGTGTGGACTTCAAGTACTCCAACATGGGTCGAATAAAGTTTGCTCGCAAGTGTCTTTCTAGGGGTTTTTTTTTTTGTTTTTTTTTTGTACTGTAGTTTGTTGGTAGCCTTTGTTGTTTTCTGTATTTCTTTATATATAAATATAATACATAAATATGTACTCTTTGTTTATATATAAAAAAAAATCATTTCATCAAATTGAGTTTCTTTAACTTTGCTGTGCTTCATCATGAGCTCCATCCCCATAATACTTAAAGAGGTACCACCGTACAAACGAATTAATATGAGATAGGAGGAGCATATTATCTGTTTGTTTTTCTATGCTTCACTATGCAATGGTGATAAGTGTATTAACATTTAATCCTGGAAATCTACCGGATACAAATTGGTGCATTATTGTCTGCAAAAGTAGCAAATAATACGACTGCGGTAATTCTCCTGTAAAATTGTATTTTCACTTAAGCTATAAACAACACACAGAAGAGGCATTCGCACACAGGTCATTACACACCTGTATTGCTGAGGGTGTGATGAGTTCTGTACACACATAAGAGGATCGTATAAAAACAAATTCAGCAAGCAGTCTATTTATTCCTCGCACTCGAGTTGCTGCCATGCCAGTTTCTCCTACAGCAAAATATTCAAAATCCTCATGCAAAGGGCACAAGCCCTTCTGAATATACAAAATTTGAAGCCTGATAGCTATTGCGGGAGAGAAAAGGTGACTGAACCAAAGATTTATTTCATTCAACTGAAATTAGAACAAAAAAAAGGTAAAGCAAAGGCAACAATTTTCAAGTAGCCTTTGCAACTAACATTAAATTCAAACTTCAAACCAAAATGATATAACTCTCTGTGGTATGCTGTGTATGGCCAAAACTTGATACTAATACTAATGAAAAGTAAGATCTTAAATTACTAAGGGCTTGAGTTTACTAAGACACAGCAAAGGCTAAGAGAGATAGGAAACTAGTTTGTAATTCAAGCGTAAAGCACGCTTCAAATCCCATCATCCAGATTCACAAAGCAATAGCATCTCCAAAGTTTCGTAGAAGAATGATTGAGCCCCCAAACATTCCTGCAGCACGCAAAAATCTCTGCCAAACACACCCAGAATGAGAAACATGTAAGCATTATCTATTCATATACAATGTAAAAAAGTTATTGAGGAAAATTTAATACTTTGTACAATGTAAATCTGATATTAAAGCTTCCCCAGGGCCTCCACAAACCACCAATCCAACAATCACATGGCCAGTATAGGCAGGCATGCAGCAAACAAATCCAATATTGTGAAACATGAATGTACAACAGTGCATTTATACCGGGTCGAGTTGCAATCAGGAAATTCCTCTTTCATTAGTAAAGATTGCTTCAGTCAGCAACCTATAAGCTCCCTCAACCAATCCAACTTCCCACAATAGAGTGTGATGTGGGGGTGTCCAAAAAGAACAAAACCATATAAACCTCCTACATTCCTAAGAGGTCTCAAGCATTTGCATATTATCCTATACGAAACCAGTTTCTAGAGCATTAAAAATACAAACAGAACTACAGGAGACATACTAAGAGCATGTTTGGTAAGAGTTCTTTTGGGTTGGAAACGGATTCAATTAAACTATTACCGTTACCAAGTGTTTACCTAAGGGTAATGGTTTCCACCCATTTGTTACCCCTATAAAACCTAAGGTAATAATTACCCTTACTCTCCTCGATCAGAATAAAGGGAGATAGGTTTAAGTGATTCCTTTTCATGATTAAACCAAACAAATAAAAAGATAAGTGTTAAATAATTCATTTCATTTTCGTTATTCATACCAAACGCCCCCATAGAGACTTTAAAAAAAAAAAAAAAAAGTCCCAGCCAAAATTGACGGCAAATAAGCAGAGACATTTTCCATATGCTGTCCTTAACAAGAGGTAGACATCTATGCTACAATTGAACAAGATCCCAAGTATACACGAGAACTATAACCCAAGACCAAACCACCAAAGAAGTCCATAGCTAAACAAAAAAACCTAATTATAAAGATGAAGAAGCAATATAAAGTCAAACACCAAAACACTAAGACAGATAGAAAGCAAATTAATCTCAAAGAAGAAATTGATGTCGCGTAAAAAATCCGAAAAGGAAGACTATCAAAATTCAAAAATGATGATTCTAACTTTGCAAATGCCCCTTAAATTTACATGATTTCAGGATATATAATCGAAAACCCCTTCCAAATCAAACAGGAGATAGCAAAATGATAATCAATATAAACATATGATTTATCCATAAAATTGCAAATCTATGTATAATTAAATCGCCAAAATAGAGACGAAGATCAAATCTTTAACCATTAATCATATAAACTGATGGATTGAAGAAGAAAAGGGGCAGAAAGTCACATAATTGAAAGTGCGAACGCAAAAATTTTGGGGTAAGAGATATGATTACCATGTTGAAAGCCCACTTTTCTGGGTCGTGAACCTGGGAGTGCCAGAATCGCTTAATACTGTCGACTGAGATTGGGAGGTCTGCCATTGTTGGAGCTCTGATTTAGGGTTTAGGGTTTTCAGGGTAAAACGATGGAGTGCAAATACAGCAGCAATTAACGATTAAGGGCCTATTTGGCAAATGCCTCTATTTATTCAATTTATTTTTATTTATTTTTTTTCTATTTATTAGTTGTTCCCTATTTTGGAGGAGAAAAAAAGTTTGAAAAATTTGATTCTAATAATCCCACCTTTGACAGGTTCGCTGCTAATAAATCCCACCTTTTGATTATTATCTAATAATCCCACCTTTAGGGGACATTCTCTTCTAATGGTCCCTAACCTGTTGGTGACCGGTGTAATGGGTTAATATTCCACGTGTCACTTTGTGATTCGTCGAAATATTTTTTTATATTTCTTTAAAAAAAAAATTAAAAAATAATTTTTTTTCCCTTTCCTTCTTCCTTATCGTTTTGAAAACAAAAATATAAAAATTATTTTTTTTTCTTACCGGTGGCCAAGGATTTTTTTTTTTAAATAAAAAATATATTTTTTTTATATTTCTTTTAAAAAATATATATATTTTTTTTATTTCTTTTAAAAATAAAATTTAAAAAGTAATTTTTTTTCCCTTTCCTTCTTCCTTATTGTTTAGAAAACAAAAATAAAAAAATTAATTTTTTTCCTTACCACCTAGTGGCCAAGGATTTTTTTTTTTTTTAAAAATATTTTTATAATTCTTTTAAAAAAATAAAAAAGTATTTTTTTTCCCTTTCCTTCTTCCTTATCGTTTTGAAAACAAAAATAAAAAAAATTAATATTTTTTCTTACCTCCAAGTGGCCAAGGAATTTTTTTTTTTTTTTTTTAAAAAAAGAAAATAAATAAATAAATAAATTACCCAAACAACAAGTTACCGGTCATAAGGGACCATTAGAAGAGAATACCCTCCAAAGGTGGGATTATTAAATAATAATCAAAAGGTGGGATTATTAGCAGCGAATCGGTTAAAGGTGGGATTATTAGAATCAAATTTTCCAAAAAGTTTTATGACTTTATCACCAAATTTGCAAATAAATCATTGGCCGAGTTTGGTGAAACACAAAAACTGATTGTGCTAGCTAATTTTAACTATATAATTGTATTAAGGCAAAATGTAACGAGCGCCCTCAAGGAATTAGATAAGAGAACTGAAAGTGGAAATATTAAAGTAAAATTAACATTAATTACACCGATCGACGTATGATTTTGTCATGCATTCCGAACTTAATACTATTTTAAGTAATATATTAAGTAGTTATCTAACGCCTCGTGACGCTTGTTAGCAAGATCTTTGTATTAATTAATATAATGGTTTTTTCACCATATACCCCTGAGTTTTTCATTTATTCACCATATACCCTTGAAAATTTTCAAATTCACCATATAGCCCTGATTTGTTACAAAAATTTACCATCTACCCCTAATGACAACAGGATGAGTGGAATTTGGTTAATTATGCATCGAAACCACCTTAGATCTCTCCCCCATCCCCGAAACCACTCCTCTCCTTTCTCCAACCCCCTAAACCACTCCAAATCTCCATAACTATATCCGTATGGTTGATTTTTAGGATGAGAAAAGGAAATTTGGTGTGGTTTTGGGGGTGGAAAAAAGGTATGTGGGTGATTTTAGGGGTAAGGGAATGTATTTAGGGTGATTTTGGGTCATAATTAACCCTAATGACTGACAAAAATAACAATCATTAGTCATCAAGGGTATATAGTGTATTTTTGTGAAAACTCGTGGGTATATGATGAATTTAAAAAAGTTTAGGGGTATATGGTGAATAAACAAAAAACTAAGGAGTATATGGTGAAAAAACCGTTAATTTAACTAACTGATTATATTAGTTGATTGTATAAAAGTATTTGGTAAATAGTTGATTGTTTAAAGTTGTTTGAGAATGTGAAATGACCAATTAGCTAATTACGGGGTAGGTAGTTGAGCGAAATAGGAAGATTAATAAGGGTATAAGTGTTATTTCACCTTAAATTATTGAATAAGCTAATGAAAAATAGCTTATATAATGAAATAAGCTCTTTAAATCAGCTCTCCACCAAATATTCCAAATTTGCTTATTTAGTACTCAATAAGATAAGTTTGCCCAATAAGCTATCTTCTAAATACAACCATTAACTTTTTAATTGTATTAAATTTGAGCACGTAGTTGCTAATATAATTATAAAATAATAATTTTGTTGCTTTATATACCATTTTTCCACTTGATACACAGTTTTTGTTAATTTGGAGCTTTCTCATACTGGAATACTATCATCATAGAGCAATTTCATAACAAATGTCCCTAAGACATCAAAATTCCTTAATTAAGTCTTATTTTACATTTTTTTTCATTCTACAAAATATCGATTTTTTTTATGGTTCACAATAAAATGCTAATTGCATTAATGTTTTTGTCTAAGGGTAAAACCACTAATTCAATGAGCAGTTTTATTGAATAAAACCATTAATTCAATTAGCAGTTTTATTGAATAAAATCGCAAATTGCACGTAACCCTTATCGTAGCAACTACCAAGTCACACAACTAGAGGTGAGCAAACCGGGTATCCGGTCAAAATTTTAGGAACTGGACCCGGAATTGGTTGGGACCGGGTCCTAAAATTCGAAATTGGTATTGGAACCACTTCAACTGGGTCTTAAAACTTAGGAATTGGAATTGGAACCGCCATGTACCGGTTCCGGGTACCCACTTTTGTACATAAATGTTAAAATTTAATATAATTATAATACTTATTTTGATCCAATTTCATTTTTAGCGTTTAATACTTATATTTATATATGTATAAAGCTTTTTATTTGGTAAAATTGGCCGCAACAACACAAACTATTACAAAGGTGCGTGTAGCAGCACAACCTTTCAAGGGTGCGGTCTACATCACAAACTATGTACTTGGGTGCACATAACAAAATGAATGACACTAATAAACTAAGATTCCATGGGTAAAGTGGAATTTTCGTTATTTTATTATTGTTAAAATATTAAACTTACATGATTTCCCATTACGTATGACTAAGTTAACCTTTACTTCTATTATATATTTTCATTTAAACATTTCTTAACCTCCACCATTAAAACGAATTCCTTCAAAAAGTTTTCACTATTATTTTCCTTTGTTCGCTTCATCGATTACCTTTTTTTTTTAAAATATATCGATCTCATGTAATTGATTTAGTTACCTCTCCCTCTCCATTAGTCAAATACAAAGTTGATAAATAAAAGAAAATTATCCGAAAAACCATTTCGTTCCTTAAAATTTTAGGATAAAAAGTCTATTTCTAAGACCATGCAAGCCCACAAAATGCTTCAAAATACTTAATTCTTCAAAAAACAATTTCGGAATCAGATTTTAGGATAGGCCAAATTGATTTTTTTGGTTTTCAATGTACAACACTTTAATCATGGAGGTTGAGAGAGATAGTAATTTAAAGGGAGAAAATTAAATATAGGAAGAGGAAACTAAGACAATCACGTGATATGTTAAAAAAAAGTAACCGAAGAAGCAAACGAAGGAAAATAATGGAGAAAACTTTTTGAAATAATCCATTTAATGATGGAGGTTGAAAAGTGATGTTTAAGGAAAAACAATCAATAATGAAAAAGAAGACTACATAGTACATAGTCAAATGAGATAGAAAATCAAGTAGGATGAAATTAAATAAAAATATATTAAAATATACAATAAGCATTAAAAATATTGAACCAAAATTCCACTTTTCGATGAAATATGAGTTTAATTCGTTGGTGACATTTATGCTGTTATTTGCACTCAAGTGCATAGTTTGTGATGTGGAGTGCACCGTCGAAAGGTTGTGCTGCTGCATGCACCTTTTTCATAGTTGGTGTTGTTGCGCCTATTAGTTTAATATATAATGGGTAACCAGGTACTCAACCGATTCCAGGCCCAAAAAATTAAGAATTGGAATTGGAACCGGTTGCTACCGGTTCCTTAGTTTATTACCCGGAATTGGAACCACCAGGTCCCATTCCTATTTCGGACCCGTCAGTTCCTAATCAGCTCCGGTTCCAATTTTGGGTACCCAGAATTTTTGCTCACCCCTACACACAACCCAACCCAACCCACCACTTGTGTTTCATATCAGGCTTGCACAGTCCCTAGTTCGTGCCTAGTTTATTACTCTTTTCGCTCCAGAATAATTGACATATTTAACTTTTTTTCATTTTTCACTTATTAACTTTGACAATAGTGACTTTTATACAACGGTGCTAAAAAAAAAGCTAGTTTTATCACTCCATCTTATTTTTGCTGAACTTAAATTATTTAATCTAAACTAAAATTATTTTTTTATTGATTCTCTATTATATTTCTTCTTTGAAGTTACTAATTTTTACTGAACTGAAGTGAAATTATTTTTATTGAACTGAACTGAAATTAAATTTAATTTTACTAAACTGAACTTATTTTTACTGAAAAGAAATTAATTTTACTGAACTAAAATTACTATTAATGAATTGAACTTATTATTGAAATGAACTTACTTTTACAGATTATTATTTTTCAAAGGTGAAGTGATCAGGGTCTTACGCCATAATTTAACGTATTCTTACCAATAATTTTTTCTAAAGTAATAATGGAAGAAAAGAAAAAAAGTAGAGTTAGAAGGAGGGCCCATGAGATGTAAGTGGCCAAGCAATATTGAACACGTGGGCATAACAGCATCGGATAACAAATCCTTTGTCCATCACAATTTTTGTTTACAAAACTATAGAGATTGCCTTTCAAGAAATCTTTCCCTTTTGATTATAGCAAAATATAGAAACTAAATTAAAGGCTAATATTATTCACAAACTCTGCTGAAAAACTACATCAGCAACACACCCAAAATGGAAGCCTCGGCTGCACTCAGCAGTAGAGGAATTCCTGTTGTAAAGTTTCAATGTTTTTCACATAATACTTTCAATGGAACAAGGGCAATGCAGGTTTTATCTATGGCCTCTAAGAAATCCAACTCGTCATCATCCACCAAAACCACTGGCTCTAAAAAGGTAATAACACAATATCTCGCCTCGAAAGTAGCTGTCACATTACTAGTTTAAATTATTCGTGTTTCATTATTTGCCATATTTGAGCTGTAAAATTTTTCTTGCTACTAGTGGTGTAAATGTGGAAAGTTGTGTCAGTATGACAGTTTGCAGTATTTTGCAAACATTCTTCATTTTTGAGGTCATGAATTCTTGTATACCCTGAATACCTTAGTAGATAAGAATAAAAATTATACCAGATTGTTCCATAATGGGAAATTTGGTATCTAGCTTATGGTCTTATTATTATTTGGGACGGCTTAAAATTGAAATTTGATTTATTATTGCGAAACAAAGGGAGTAAAATACTATTTTCCATGGAGTATTGAAGTGGCTTTGCATTCTATTAATGAATGTTTTATCAAACTGCAGAAAGATTTTTGTTTTGTTATATATTAGGAGTTTTTGAAATATGGTTTTAGTGATCAATGTATGGTTTAAAATTGTGAATGTGGAATTATGGGGGGTAGTATTGCATATTTGAGAGGAGATTGGGTGCAAGGTGAAGAGTCATGTAACCCTCTTTCTCGCTTTCTAAAATAAATGCAGGGTAATCCGGTGAAGCTGCTGACGCGGGTGGAGCAGCTGAGACTGCTGACAAAGGCAGAGAAAGCAGGGTTACTTTCAGCAGCAGAGAAAGCAGGATTGTCATTAACAACAATAGAGGAACTAGGTCTGCTGTCAAAGGCTGAAGAGTTGGGTGTATTATCAGCAGCAACAAACCCGGAAACCCCAACAACCCTTTTTACGCTTAGCCTGGGGCTCTTACTTCTTGGCCCTGCTTTCGTTTTTCTGGTACCTGAGGATCACACCTGGGAGATAGCTGTCCAGGTTTTGGTTGCACTGCTTAGTGTTGTCGGAGGATCTGCAGCTTTTGCTGCTTCGAATCTTGTAGCAAACCTACAGAATGTCGAATAATTTTTGCTGGAGAAATAATATATGCTCTTTATTTGCGTATTTATGTAATTCGTTCAATCTATTCTTACCATAGATTATACTGCTTGAACTATCATATACTTGAAGTATGAATACATTTGCTAAGGATTATAAAAGGCATAGACATGCAATCTTAGCCTTGACAAGTTTTAGCAAGTGGAGAAGCCACTTTCATAAGGTTTTTAGCTTTTCATAGGTTAGGAACAAATTGTAGATACACAGGATTGCAGGGAAGTGTTACAAGAAAAACATGACTTAATGCTTTGAATCTATCTTATGCTTAGGTGTACCTTTCCAAGACAGCGCGGGCATGACATGCACCCTATGCACATCAACACTGATAGATGCATGACACGCACTGCCCAGGGCGGCAGGGCATACATACATCGTACACAAGCTCACAAATATGTGGTGCGATTCCCCTCTCCCCAAATGCGTTCTGTTAAAATGGATCCCAAACCTATACGCCTTAGCATGTAAGCTTAAACTCCCTAATACCAAAAATAAAAAAATAATTGTTATTTTGTATAGATAAAATACCAGAATACACTACCTTCATCGAGAAGAACATGAATTTAGAAACATCATACAAAATCCACCAGACAACGGCAACCAGGCCATCATGAGCCAACAAAAAATTGTAAGTGAAAATTGGCACATTATTATTAGGAAAATAATCAAATTTCTAAATTCATATATTAGAAATCCAAAAAAAAATATTAAAAAATTAAAAGCCGCATTCGAAAGGATCAAGGATCCAGCAGTGCCTAAACCCTAAATTAACAGTTAATAGAAAAACTCATCACGTGTATACCAAACAAATCAAAATATTGTTCCTCATCTACTTCTGTCCACCTTGACGACCAGTGTTTCCAGTTCCATTCTGATCAACTCGTTGATAACCCTCAGCTCCTCTTCCAGCTCCACCCCTAGGTTTACCTGAAAACTCACCCTGATTTCTAAAGTCGCTTCTTCCATAACCACGACCTCCACCAAAGTTTCCACGACCTCTAAAGCTCTCACTGCGAAAGCCACCCCTTGAAGATGGGTACCTCCCTCTTCCACTATTAGGAGTTGCAGCAGCAGATACTGCAAAATGAATATCCACTGATCATCAGAACCACCATTTAAAAATGAATCAGGGGATAAACTTGTTTAATATGGCTTCTTTTTTGTTGAAGAGAGATGGATATAAGGCTGAAACTTTAATTTTACCTCGAGTTGTAGTTCTCTTTTCTTCTATTACAGCTTTACGGCTCCCTATCAAAATGGGAGAGGCCTGGGAAAATACAATTAAGAGTGGAATCAATGAAAGTGGTGTCATAAACAATAATTAGTTATATACGAATTGTCACGAAAATGCAACATTTGAAATTGAGTCCAAATTTTTGCTTCACCAAAAATAAAAGAATAAAAAAAAATGCATGATTTTCACTTCAATTTAAAAATTTGGAGTTTGCTTTCTTAGGACATCACAAAGCTTAGAGCTACTTCAAGTTAACAGCCTGAAGCTCAACAAAAGCTAGCTTACCATAAATCAATAATACTTCGTCTCAGTGGGGCCGTTGTCAAGTCATCGGCAATACGAAGCATCAAGGTTAAAAAAAACCATTTAAGATGACGTTCTTTCATCCTTAGTTTAATGGGTGAAGATGAGGTATATTATATGGGGTATAAGATATCCTATCATCTGACTTCTTAGGTCAGTGACGTCAGTCAATTTAATGCAAAGTAAAGCAAAAGGAATATCACAGTGAGGACTTAAGCACTTAAGCAAGAAACAGCAGAATATCCAATGCTGCACCCCTAAAAATTTCCACCTTTCAACCCCATCTATTGGCTACAGAAAGGTGCACCAGGCCTTCCGATCAGTTTCTCAATCGAAATTAGAAACAAGTAGAGCGATTAAGCTACTTTTCTCCATAGCTACATTCACACCAGCAACATGGACAGATCAAATACTCTAACCACAAACCACTGGCTCCATTCTTTCTTTTGCATCACCAGTCCCTATACTACATCATAACCAGAAATAAAGCTTGCCAGAATACTTCACTGATAAAAAAGCTGCTGACTTGCTCAATGATTCATATTAAGCACCATACATTCACACTCTTCTACTTTTATTTCCTACATTGTTTTGTCCATTTTCTTCCTACAAGTGGGAGAGAAGAGGAAGGGAGAGTGATAGTCTACCATACACAAAGTACAGGAGAGTAGATAAACTACACACAGCATGGTGACTAACACTGTCAAAGATGACATTTGTAAGAATTTTTTTGATCATACCTCAATTGCAGATTTCATGGAGCTCGCGGATTCAAACTCGACAAAACCAAAGCAGAAACCCTGCTGCTTGCCAAAAAAAAAAAAGTCATATATGTAGTTATGAAATATTGGAACAAAAGAAGGAAATGAAGGTTGGAAAATTTTCACTAATCATTAAAAGAAGTTTTGTAGACAGATACCTTATTACTTCTTACTTGGACACCACCTTGCTTAATTGGCCCAAATTTTGCAAAGACCTCCTCAAGTTGAGCAGAAGTTGCATTTTGTGGCAAATTTCGCACATATATGGAGTGACCTTCAGCTTCACAAGACAAAAGCACGACTCAGAAGCATGGAAAAAGGACACAGAAACTAGACCGCTATGAAAATTATAGATAGAGATGACCATCACCCGGTAATCATCATCATCATATATCCACAATATTCATAAAAATACGTCCATGTGCATCACCTTAATTACAACTCTATCTGACCTTTCTCCAAGGCTATCACTACTGCATTTTTGAGATTCAATGTAACTTTAACTCAGCTGTAATCATTTTAAAACTTACTATATCTAAAACTGCTATAATTCCTAACCTATGCAATAATATATCTAATTTTCTAAGTAATAACCAGATGAAAGCAAATTAAATGTGAAATTACCAGTGCATGCATCAGTGAAACTCAAACTAAATAAAGTGTATTCAATCATAGCAAGGGTAGCATCAATGGAATTGAATTAAACCATTCAATTCTGTAAAGGTCTTTCTCTAATACTTTGTAGATTTCAATTTCTTGTACCGCAAAAACTGTTTTCTAAATTGTAATGCATGTATTATTAACACAACATGACATCCATTACAGACCAATACTTTCCTGCACCATTCGTTTTCAAATGTTATGAAGGCCATTAGTATAATCATCAGATTTAGATATAAGATAACTTCAAACTCATGGTTAAAAATTCTTGTTTCTTATCAAACAAAGATCTTATGGTTCAAAAATTACTTCAACTGTAACCTAAAAGAGAGATATGATCCAAAAATCTTAAATTACAATAATAAAATTGATACTTAACAGTCATGACAGTGACTGATTTTTTAACAAGTAACACATTATAAATTTGAATAATTGATACTTTCCAGATTAACAAAGAACATATGACAAACACCCATGAAATGACACTTCCGCAACAACATCACAGTCATGACAGTGACTTTTTTTAACAAGTAACACAACAGTTTGTTGCTATGAAATATAATAAATACTGAGTTCTTCAATATCACAAAGTTTTGATAACATTATTACCGTATTAACAGACATAGCAAAAAAAATAAGACGAAAAGAAGCAAATCAAGCACCTTCCTCAGGAACATCGCTTTTTTCAGGACCAGTTTCACTGGTGGAAGCTGATGACTCTGATACTAGAGCAGGTTTCACAGTGACTTCCTGGTTTCTAGTTGGAGGCTTGACCTTGACGTTAGACACAGGTGCTTTGACAGGTACAGGTGATATATTGGCCTTAATAGCCTTCAGCTGTAACACACAGCTATTTAGACAGGTTCAACATTAAAAAAAATTAATTAAAATAAGAGAGTCAACTGTGAGCTTACAATTGATGCATAGGATCTCTTGGGTCCATCATCTTGAGAGGCAGATAGCTCTGAAGTGACAGTTACAGCCTTGCTCTGATTTAACTGACTTGGGGGGTCAATAACCTCCTCTTCAGTTACTGACCCATCTTCATTATCCGAGGGATCACATACTTCAGCCTCATTAGTAAGATCCTCCTCATACGAGGATTCAGGAACTGGTCCATTATGGACTGGAGCTGGAGGAGGCTGCTCTGAAAGTAAAATGAAATAAAACTATGAAATATAATTCTCAACTAAACTACAACGAGCGTGCATTTATAGACTATAGGTAAAAATCAAAATGCACCTGGCTCTGATGCCTGCGGAGCTTCTTCCACATGTTCAACAGCAACATTAACAGGATCTGAGGCTGCCACTGCTGATTCTTCATCTTCTACGTACCTGAAGACGTCATTTAGGACAAAAAAACCTTTCTCTTGAGGGGCCAAAAAGAATGATTGTGCAAATTTCTTTTTCACATTATCCTTTCCAGTCATGTAACCAGTAACCAAAACAATCACTCCACCCCCCAGGGATAGCTGAGCATCAGCAGTCTTTATCTCAGCAACATAATCTTTGTAATTCAAAGACACAATTTTTTCATTAATTCCCTGTAAAAGTATTAAATTTCAGTTAATACATAGAGATAGTTACATCAAATCTCATCCCCCCTTCCCAAAAGAATCTAATGACCCTGGTCATTCAGTGATTATCAAGAAGACCAGGAAGGTGATGTGTTGCATATATAAAGCAACTGCAGCCCCATTAGGGGTTACTATTATAACTTTACAGCACAACCAATAAAATTGTACATTTCAGAGTCTACAGCATAATCAAAATTTTCAGACATCATTGCATCAAGACAACAAGTTCATTAGCATGTAACACTATCCGGTTCCTCATTATTTTGTAAGAAAATTCAGAATATTCTTAAAACTTCAGCTTAATAACCAGAATTGCCACTATGGGGAAGGGGGAAAAAAAAGTGAATCATCGAATTAGGAACTATCATACTAAATGTACACTTTACAATGCCAGAGATATACCACTCGTACTATTGAAGGAAGAATCACTGCAGATTTTTTTTTTTTTGGCAACCAAATATTTATTAATAACCAAAATAAGTATATAACGGTTCACAGTAGTAAAGCAACACCAATAGACCGATAAACCAACATCAGTACACATGCCTAAACACCAAAGATTTTTAAAACTGCATCAGCAATCCCTAGCCCCCACTTTCTAGGAAAGGTTGAAAAACAGAGCCCTTCATGTACAGAATTATAGTTGTTTCCTTTGACAGCCAAAAGAATAAAAATAATAAATTTATCACCTATCTCTGTACTTCAAAGACTAACCTCAAACACCAATTATCTAGAGATCTTGTTCCTAGAGTCCTAGACCAATTCATGATCAATTATATTTTTATTCTATATCTCCTAATGCCATGTTAGCACCATGAGAAACATATGATATTTTATAACTGGTTATACTCCAAGCAGGAATGCAGACTAAGGCTTTATTTTGTATTATATCTAAACTTATTTGAACTAAAATAATTTTGTCTAACTTATCTGAAATAACACGAAATTGTGTATAATATTTTCTGAATAAAAGCTAATATGTCTGATATTATTCTGTGTAAACTTATATTTTCTTTACTTTTTTTTTAAATAAGATAAAAATAAGTTAAAAGAAGATGAAACAAACAGGCCCTAAAAAGAAATGCATAGGTAATTAAAATCTTCAAAATATGAGTACGGCTTTCTAAAATCTACTAAACATACAGGCATGGTTGTAACAGATGTCATAACCCCATTCGAATCTGGGCGACTCAGCACACTTGAATCTTGATAAAATCTGTAAACCAACTCTGGTGATTGGTGAAGAATGAGGTAATACTGTTCCACAAAAGCATTGCCAACTATTTGAGCACTTGGAGTGCTGGCAGGACTTTCTGCCTGCGTTGCCATCTGAAACAGAAAGTCTAAATAAGCATACTTCACAAATTATTATTGCCAAAAGGGACAAAATAGGTCCCAAAGAAAACCAATAAACAACAGACATTGATTTAAAGTGTAAAACTTGCTACAACGATGGCTAATTGTCTATGTGCACAGTAAGTCAAATTCATGCAGAAAAAACCTATGAGCACAGAAAAGAGAAGCCTAGGCAGAGCAACATCATAAACCAGATAAACTTCCCAAAAAAAAACCCGGAAAATTTCACTGTCTCAAAGTTTTTGTACCCATCCCCAATATTTTGTCTTAAAGTTTTGGCATAAAAATACTACTGAAAGGAACAGGCTGGACAGAGGGAAAAAACATTTGAAGAAGCATCTTCCTTCAACCACTTCCCTGAACATTTTTTAAGTTCAACCTTCATAAAAGTGATTAGTGAATTCGGCTCATAAATGCTCTTCAGGGTATCAAACCTGCTAAATGAAGTTCAGATTGAGCTTGGTCAGACTGAGATCAGCCTATTAAAGCTCTAGTGTTTCTTTCAGCTTTATACCTGGAGTTTCACTAATATAAATATAAGAAACATAGATCATGTATAGTAAAATATATATGGGAAGGTATCTAAGACTGGAAACATATACACACACCAGCAACCTAGCTTCCTCTCTACTCTTCAAACTTTTCCAGAAAATTATATCCCAGATCCATCTTAGCAAGATTTAGCACTTTGGAACGCTTAACAAGCACCAATTCTGCATCCTAAAAAAATACTAATAAAACTAAGAAAACTAGAAAACCTTTTAACCTTGAAAGCCACTTTAACCCCCAACAATAAATTTGGGAAAAGGGAGAAGGGAATAAACCCAATATCGCCCAAATTCTATTTAAACTCCCCAACAAAATAAACAGCAAACTATAAGACCACTTATCTCCTCCAACAGGTCTAAAAGGACGGAAAAAGAAGACCGGGGGGGTGGGGTGGGGGTGGGGGGGAGGGAGGGAGAGAGAGAGAGAGAGAGAGAGAGAACAAAGAAGTAAAAACTTTGCAATAATATACTGGCTGCTGTCCAGCACCGAAAATTGCCGAAATCCACTGCTCATTTCACCTTTGGTTTGCAATAATCAATAACAATCAAGAATAGCCTTTGTAGTACCCAACGTCCCAACCTTTACCAATTTAATCTCTCCTATATCTCTCTATTTTTCCAATAGATAAACACCCCCTGCTGCCGTCCAACAGCCACCCTTCAGAAACCATCAATCACCACTCCACACAACTCAAAATCACCTCTCAAAATGACCTCAAAGTTACAGCAACTAAATCCCAAAGAATAAGTAAGCTCATACTTTCCCTCACATTACCTCTTCGTAGGCTTCATGCATGGAAAATTGATGAAGGTAGCTTATGACTTCAATCGATAAAAACTTCAACATGGCTAGCCTTTGTCAAGTACACTCCAAAGTTCAATATCCTTTCACCCCTGGGAAGGGCGAATTAACGATGGTTGTTGAAAGCAAGAAGGGGTTGAATACAGTAAGGAGAGGTGACAGAATGTGAGCTTGTGCCTTGTGGTGTATGGACTGGTGGTTTGAGCAGTTTTGGTGAGAAAGAGAAAGAGAGCTGCAAGTGATGGACAGCAAAAGAGGGAAGAGAGGACATGTAATGAACCAGTGAATCCGCTCCTTTTTTTTTGGAGGGGGAGGGGGTAATGATGTTCAAATGTACCATGATCGAAACACCACAGTAAGTGCTACCAGATCTTTTAGGTATCAAGTCCAATAGTCCAATCCATTTCAATCCTTGAACAATAACCAAAACACCCCCTTAGAACTTTAGAAGGCCCAGCTACCCTACTCTACAAAGAAGTAATTCAGGCATCCCAAAGAATATCACAAGACAAAGTAATCCCAAAATACACTACGAAATTCCAGAAAACATCTGACAAGTCTCAGTCTCTTCAAATGAAGTGTTCTTTTATTTAATTTTCATAACAATTTTGGAACAATCTGGCGCTAAAGACTTGGAATGTAAATGTGGTGATAGAAATTAGAAAAACTATAGGACAACTACAGAAAGAGACAATACTTGATTAGAATGAGATTTTGGCAACTTGCATTAAAGGTTTCCAAAAATAATCGAGTGAGAATAGCTAGAAAAATACGTCAATAAAAAAAAAGATTGCCATAGGTGATAGGTTAGAGCTAATTCAGGATATACTCTCATTTTCATGGATATGGGCAAAGAGGTTCAACAGCAACACTCATCCATAGCTCAATCACATGTAACTGAAAGTAGTTTGGGTTGTGTACTTGTGTTGTACCTTTGTAGGCAGACAAAGTAGACAGTGTCTAGGAAATATAAAGGACACACCTTGAACAGGGAAAGTCCTTTAATATATGTAAATAAATAAATTTTCTTTAGGAAAAAAAAAAAAAAAAAGTGTAAGTTACCCAGTCATTTTCCTACAGATACACACTGACTTGATATCAGATTGCCCTTTTTGCTCGCTTTTGGATAGTTGGTATATACGAGTACTCTTCCTAATTCCTATCATAAACCTTTTCCCTGATCCCAGATAACACATACATATACACATTTTACCAATAGATGGTCTGGCCAAACCTAAGAATAATCATTAGCTAAAAAAGGCAGATTGTGAGAGCACAAGGCTACAATCATAAGCAGTCACATGCTGAGAAAATGGCAGTGAAGTCTTTTCAGGCTTGAGCAACAAAATGAAGTAACCCTTGTTCACAAACAAAAATTGCCACAACTTCAATTTAAACGAAACCAAAATCTTCCTAGGTTCAATTCAAAAGGTTAAAAGAGGTAGAGAGAAAGGTCAGAAGGGGTGTGATAAATCACCAAGAAAACATAGAAAACCAACCAGAATCATACACATATGAATGAGCAAAATTTAATCAGATAATTCTAGAAACACATTATTGATGCAAAATTGGCGAGCAAGCTCAAATATTTATGGAAATAATGGGAAGAACTTGACAAAAAAAACTAGAATATGAGACTATAGTACTGGCTATACATTGAATTAGATTGATTACTACGAGCATAAAGCCGAAACCCGAAATCAAACAAAACTGCAAGTTTCTAAGCATAAAGAACAAAAATTGTAAATTAAAAACCGAATTAAGACTTCTGAATTGACGTGAGAGCTCTAATATCCAGACCAATAACTTATAAGAAGTACAAGAAGTCAAAAACCTAAACAATGAGCCTTAATTGCAAGCTCAACAATCTGCAGGTCAATGATACAAACATAAACCTCGAATATTTACAATATCCAAAAAAATCAGCACCATTATAAATACAAATCTATAAAATCATAAAAACCAACAACAATATACACTCAAAATTAACAAAAAAGCTCATAAACCCAGATCAATTTCCTATAATATGGCTAAAATTAACAACATTAATCAAACACCCAGATGAACAATTGAAGGAAAAAATTAGAATCTCTAAAGAAAAAGTCAAAAAATGAAGCAAAATTAATCAATTGATTTGCAATAATAGTACCTTTTGTAATGGATTTGGGTGGGGCTGAATTTGATCTTGATGATTCAAATTATGGATGAGAGAGAATAAGAATCCAGAGATCTAGAAACACAAAGAAGAGTAAACGCAGTAATTGGGAGAAGGAAAAAGAAGTGATTTTGCAAAGCTAAATAAGATGGTGATCAGATCAACCAAGAACAATTGTTTTTATGCCCGAATTTGGGTAGTTTAGTGATTTTCTGATTTTCGTCTTTCTTTGCGAGTTTTGTTTTTTTTTTTTGGGTACTAAATTAAGAAACTTTGCTAATTGAGTTTTTAAATTTGTGATCTTTGCTAGTTTTGAGTGTTTTTTTTATTTTTTTTGAAATTGATTGTATTCCAAATCAAGTGTAGATTTTGATTTTTATGCTATAATGCTATAGATGAGCTGGCTAAAGTATCTCATAGATTAATACAAACTAATGTTGTGTTCGGGTTATGTCCGGATACCTTATTGAATTTTAAGATAAATTTTGTCTCAAGTGCCACAAATCATATTTTGACTTGCTATTTCATAATCTGGGATATTTTGAGATAGAATTAAGAGTATTATAGAAACATACTCCATATGTGAAAAACAATGGTGTATTATGTTATTTCAATTATCTACCCATGAATGAATGATCAACTATAATTATATTTGTAAAAAAAAAAAATTAATAAAATAAATTACTACCACTCCTATAAAATCAAGGGATTTGTTAAACATCGCCCACAAATTACTACATAAAGCCCACAAAATTCACTTGGTTTGACAAAATTGCCCTTGACCTTAAAAAAAACACTCACACTCTCATTGCTCATCTTCTTTCAACCTCTCTTAAAAAAAAAAAAATTCAAACAACGGCAATGTCGAGGCGGCAAGGCAAGGAATTGGCGGCGGCGGCGGAGGGAAGGATGTCCCAAGGAGGCAAGGTACAATTTGTAAAAAAAAAAAATAAAGGGAAAAACCGCCGTGACGGCGGTGGGGCGCCCTGGCTGGACGCCCAGCAAGCGGTGGTGGCGCCAGCTGCAGACGCCGCCACCAGTTGGCTGGCGCCTGGGCTGGACGCCATAGCCACGGTTGTGGCGTTTATTCAAGGCGCCGCAGCCGTGGCTGTGGCGTCCAGCCCAGGCGCCAGCCCACTGGTGGCGGCGTCTGCAGCTGGCGCCACCACCGCTGGCTGGGCGTCCAGCCAAGGCGCCCCCCCCCCTTTTTTTTTTATATTTGTTTTAAAATATTGTTTTAAATTTTTTTTTTTTTTGTGTAATATATTTTTGAATTGTTTTTATATTTTGTTGTTTATTTTTATAAATTTTTTCAATTTCGTTGTATTTTTTCTATGTTTATATTTTGTTTACAATTATTTGTATGTTTTTAGTTTATTTGATTTGGGAGTGGTAGCTATTTTTCGTATAAATTTGTGTATGTTTATATATTTTAAAATTTTGTGTAGAATTCACTGGGTCGTCATGGTGCGGGGAAGAATGTAGAGCTTCTTAGTAGAAGCTATTCAGTGGAGAGGTCGGGGCATAGACATGTCAGATCCCGTGGTATTTCGGCCTCAGCTCGTAGAGAACGGATCCACCGTCGGGATGAGGATGACGATGACGATGATGATGCTGAGGAGGGTGACCAGGAGGAGGAGCAGGAGGAGGGCGCAGATGAGGATGAGGATGTGGACGATGGCAGTGGACCGTATGATGATTACGGTCCATTCAGTCAGAGGGTTGATGACATGTACGAGACACATATGGTGGAGGTGCGTAAGGGTAGGGGTGGTAGGTTTGTTAGTAGATCTGGCACATCATCTGCGATCACTGTATCTGGGGCAAGCAGGAAACGGTCGAGGGCCGGTAATGATTCTTGGGTTGTTAGGAGTGAGGTGCCCGGTGGGCCTGTTGACGGGAGTGTGATTCCTAGCTTTCTAGGACACATAGCTGCCCGTATTTGGGAGGACCAGGAGAGGCCTTCAGTTACGGGGTTGTTGAAATGTCATACCCGGGAAAAGACTTGTAGCTTTTTGCGTACATGGGCTGAGGCTTGGCCGGCGGAGAGCGAGATGTTCGAGCGACTGGAGGGCACTGGGGTGAATCACGTTCCTGCCACAGCGATGATGATTATGTGCCACCGCCTACTGCCATGGAAGCGGTATGTCTTATATTATATTTATCGTTGTCTTTTAATTAAGTTTTATATGTTGTTATTGTATTTCATCTTCTGTTTTTTGTTGTATGCAGTGGATGGGAAAGATAATGCAGGACGTACAGAAACTCTCTCTTGAGAAGGACAGCATGAGTGCAACAGGGAGAGCTGTTGTTGATAGTCTGTAACAGACCCTTGCGCAGTGGGAGTCGTCGCCGAGGAGGGATTACTGATGGTTTTGTCATTTTATTTATAGAGCACTTTAAATATCATCGTTTTAATTTATTAAATTGGACATTATGTTGTAAGTTTGTAACATTTTAGATTGTTCTTTTAGCTTCCAACTTAATCATTGCTGTTTTTAAATTTTGATATAACCGTTCGTGGATCCGCGCAACTTACCCATGCAACATATAGAATGCAGTAAGCAATACAATGTAAAAGATTAATGTTCTCATTAAAAGAGCAACGTACAAATAAGATTACAAGTAAAAAATGTAAACATGAAAAACTAAAATGCAGCTAGGGTGTTCCATTCGTGGATCCGGTCATGATATAGCGCATCCCAACCCTCTACGCTCGCTGTGCGAATGTTGTACCACCGAGGTATAATCGGTGGCACTGGAAAATCGGATGACATGTCTAGTCGGATGAAATGTCTGTATGACGACCCAAGAAACGCAATAGCTAGCTCTCTGACCGGTGTGGTGACAGTCTCACGCGACCGCCAAGGGAGAACCGTGGTACAAGGATAATAAGCTTGACTATGCACTCCCAGGCCGAAATGCATGACTGCGCATTTGTAAATGTTTGCAACGGCAAACAGATCTAGGGGCGCGTCAAAATAATGATTTTGGCCGCAAGGTCCACCTCCCCACCGGATACGCCGCAGAGCGCCATCCAAGTCATCCTGGTACACATGACGATAAACATTTCGGTTAGATGCAATTTCGCTGTACATCAACTGACGCACCAAACCGTAGTTGTCTTCGCCCATTTGAAAAACATCAGCCACGACCCGGAATCCGCAGTTACCATCTCCGACTACATCATTCCACCCTTCCAAGTACGACATGATGATCGCAGGTATCCTTTCCTTGTACGGAAACTGATCAACATCGTTTCTTCCTATTCACCATATAATTATAGACAGTTAAGAAGGCAGGAGTAACACTTTAAAACTATGTGCAATGTAAACAACCAAAACGTACCAGTTCTCAGGGGCATATTCACAGACGATGAACATTTTATACATATATTACAATAAATACATTTAACGGATAATACATTTAATTTCTATATTTACACAGAATTAACACAAAAAAAGCATAATTATATATAATCAAACTTAATTTTTATAAAAACCCAATTCGAATTTTCAAACTAAATTTAAAAATATACCATTTCGAATTTTCAAACTTAATTTTAAAAAAACCTATTTCGAATTTTCAAATTTAATTTAAAAAAAAAACCCATTTCGAATTTTTTTAAAAAATCATTTTCGATTTTTTTTTTAAAAAAAAATTAAATAAAAAACAACAACAAAATCAAAAAAGAAAAAAAAAATTAATTTATAAGGGTGGCGTCTGCCAGGGCTGCCACAGCCACTGGACTGGCGCCTGGCAGGGCCGCCTCAGCCAGTAGAGCGGCGCCTGGCCAGGACGCCAGTCTGGTGGTCTGGGCGTCTGGGCTGGACGCCACTCTGGTGGTTCTGGCGTCTGGCTTGGACGTCCAGGCTACGGTTTGGGCGTCCATCCTAGGCGCCGGAGCCACTCCGACGGTAAACCGTGAATTTTAACGGTGACTTACCTCGTTTTCCGTCGACGACGACGTACCTCCGCCGTCCCACGCATCTCCGGCCTGCCCTCCGGTCTCCCCCGGCGAGCCAGTACGGCTCCACATTTTTTAAACCGAGATTATTTCAATTTTAGAAAATGGGCATAATGGTCACACCAAATCATATTTGTGGGCTTTATATGGTAAATTGCGGGCGATGTTTAGCGTTTTACAAAATCAATTGTAGATTTTGATCTTTATGCAAAAATGCTATAGATGAGCAAGCTAAAGTATCTTAGATTAATATAAATGTTGTTGTTTAGTTGACTTTACAGGCATAACATGTTTTATAATGTTTAAAGTTAAAAAGAAAGCGTGCATGAATTACAGAGTTTAATTGACTTTTACAAACGTAATGTGTTTTACAACGTTGAAAGTAAGAGGAAATGTGTCTGAAATATGGAGTTTATTATCTTGTACAGGTTTAACGTATATTATAAAGTTTAAAGTAAGAAGAAACATGCATGAACTACAGAGTTTAGTTTCCTTTAATTTATAGGCATAAAACGATTTACAACGTTTAAAGTAAGAAGAAATGTGCATGAATTACAAAGTTAGTAAGAAGAAAAGTGTGTAAGTTACAGAGTTTAGTAAGAAAAAAGGTGCATGAATTACAGAGCTCTCAACTATATTGATTGACAACTTTGTCGTGTTAAATACATTTGTAGATGTTTGCTAGAAAAAGGATAAAGTTTTGGACAATGATTATTGAATTGTAACTTAGAATCAAATCTTATTAACATTATTGTCTTTGGGACTTGCTCTACTCCAAATAAAATCTTGGTGTGTTGAGGAGGTGGCATCTTGATGACTATTTTCCTTAGGGTGCTTCACATCATGCTTTAGCTCCCTAAACTAGTTTCAAACCTTTCAACAGGAAGTCAAAAATGTATATGATTCTTCTTGCTCCATACCAAAGTTGATTTCAATCGGGAAAAAAATACTAATCTAACTCACTTAAGAGTATTTAGAGTTTAATTTGACATTTTTTTTAATTATACTACTCTTGGTCTAAATAATCAAGTAATAATTTATACCATTATTAGGATAAGAGTGAAAGTTTGCGCAACAATCTTGAAAGCATGATAATAAACTTCTAAAGGGAATTGATTTCAACTTCTCATTCTCGCTCATATATTATCATGGTCTTCCATAATATATTACAAGAATCTCTTAAATAATATTACTAATAATAACAAATAATACCAAACCCGTATTAATAACGAAATACGATATGATAATGTATCATATCATTAATACGGGTTTGGTATATGTTATAAATTCAACCCATGAAATACAAGTTTATACAACAATTAAATATTTTGCACTTTTTGAGTTGCCTACAAATAATATATAACCCTTAACTAATCAAACTTATCTCAACACACTAATTAATAAGAACCTTCAACAGTTCAACACTAATCAATCAAGTACAATCACAAATTAATCCTTGGAA